CGTAAACCTAATCGAGATTATATGAATTTCTGGAGGGGATATAGATATAATTGAAGTATGTTATATATTATTTATTGTTATGTGAATTAAGTGGTGGTAGTATTGGTCTCCGGGGTGGTGGAGTCACTTCATTATTATTTACCTTTTTAAATACTGTGTTTTTTTCTATGTTGTATTGTTGTTGTTGTGATGTGTTGCATTTATGGTTTTTTGCTATTTTAAAAAAAATATAAAAAACAGGATGGGGGGAAGAAAAAAAAATAATGGTGATCTGCGAGCTTCCATGCCGTAGCAATTCTCCCCACGAACAAAAGGTTCTGCAGCGGGATGCAGAGAGCTGATGGATCAGGCTTGCTGGGTTCTCCCGCTGGAGGACAGCAAGAGGAACGAAGACCATCTGCCACGGCCAAAAGTGGTCCCTGTGGCAACACCTCTCTTTCTTCCCTCCTCACAGCCCTGCTCTGTTAAGTCAATTTTGATCCCCAGAAGTAATTCAGAACAGGGTTTTTAAATGTACGGGCAAAGAGGAGGGGCAGTTTAAACATTTTGTGAGAAAATAAAATTAGCCCTCTGTAAATCAAATGTAAAACAAATGGATTTACCCACACAAGGTGCACAGTGTCTGAAGCAGGGACTGGAGGAAGATTTACGAGCTAAGTCTGGGATTAGGGAAAATTCTAGGAAGCTTCTTCCCCTTCATTGTTAAAGAAGCTGTTTCTTCAGATGTTGAGAAAAATGGAAAATATTTTTTTAAATGGGCAGCCTCCATAGGAGTTGAGACTGGGTTACTTTAATATTTTATTTATTTATTTAGAATTTTCGTATGCCGTCCCATCGCCTGAGCCTCGGGACGGCTTACATAAAACAAATAAACATAATACAAATAAAATCCAGATTCACCCTGGCTGCAAATTAAAACCTATAGATGATATTAAAAGTTGTTAAAATATTGTTTAAATAAAAAGGTCTTAGCCTGGTGCCGAAAAACAAATAACGATGGCGCCAGGCGGACCTCTCTGGGGAGCACATTCCATAGACGGGGCGCCACCGCAGAGAAGGCCCTCCTCTGAGTACTTTGCCTCCTTTGGCAAGTACTTTGCCTTTCATGTTTATAAACATTTTAATTATTTATACTAAACAATTAATTTAAGTGTTACTTTTGCTGATCTGGCAACAAAAAGATGATCAGCTTTTTATTCCCCTTCACACAGTAACTTTCCAGTCCGTGCTTATCCTACAGTGACTGGAAGACAAGTTGCATGTAAAATGAAGTCACACGCACGTCACCTTCATTACAGGGAAACAGCTCACCTTGTCTCTTCTTCCAGGATGAGTAACACATGTGGTGTGAGAGAAGGCGAACACCGATTTCAGAAAGGTCTTCAGAAACACAGAAACAGAGCGAGTCAGAAGGGGTCTCCCGGGCCATCTAGTCTGACCCCCCGGCTCCAGCCGGCTCCGCTCAGGACATGCCCACGCTCACGAAGAGCCTCAGAAGCTGAACAGGATCGGTGCGTGCAATTCTCTGAGAAACCGCTGCTTCTCTCTACCATTTCTCCTGCAAAGGAGAATAAAAAATAGTAACTTGTTACAACTGAAGATCAATAAACGTTTGTTCAAATGGGATAAACTGCAGAGTAAGGATATGGCTATGTTCACTATGGGGGGTAATTTGCATCGAGATTAAAACATGCCAAGTCCTGAAGGCCCTTGATCCTATCTCAGCACCTTGCACCTTAGCACTGCACCTTGGGCTCCCTTTTCAGGAGCAGAAGAGCGAGTCATCGCTTGCCCAGAAAGGTTTCGGAGTTTTAGGGTTTAATCCTTCCAACATCCAACATTGGCTAGAGGGGCTTCAGAGCAAGCCGAATCCCAGCCTGCTTGGCTCTTTCTGCACTGGCTACAGTTCCAAAGATGGAAGAGCGTCTTGGGAGCCCCCAGGGGGCATTCTGGGAGATGGAGAAATCAGCCAGGGACATCTAAAAAGTACTCCCCAGCGATGCCTCAGCCTCTCCTTAGGAAGAGGAAGAACGCATTTAAACATCCAAAATCAGGGATCTAATCAGCCAGCCACCCTAGCCGCCACGGCCTTCCGGCTTTTCACTGGATGCCCATAATCTTTCGGGTTCAGAAAGTTATGCCCACGTTGGATGCTGTGGTTATTAGGCAGAGCCTTACTAAATGAAAAACATGCTCCTCTCAAGGCTCTTGGGACGAACGGCAGCATCAAAGAACTAGCATTATCTGACTCCGCAGAAATAAAGTGATTAACTGAACAGGAGCTTGTTTGACCAGCCCATAAACAAAGTCGAGGGCAATATGGTAAAACAAACGAACGCTTAGGTGAATTGCTTCATCCTTTTATAATATTATGCCGCACAGGAGGCTTAGTAGTAAACAGATAAATGCTTGCTTGTATTTGTAGGTAAAGAGAAAAGGTGGATCATGCAATGGCAAGTCAAAGGCAGGAGAAGAGGAAGTCCAAATATGAGGTAGATCAGTTGCATAAAGGAAGCCAAGGACAGAGTATTTTGGACGGCACTCAGTCTTAGCCTCACTGTAAGTTGGCGCTGAAGCCATGGTTGTTGTGCTGGGAGAGCGACTAATTCAGGACTCCAGTCCTTCCCGGCCACGTTTCCCAAACGAAGCGGCAACCGTGTTCCCTCGTCAGAAACCCAGAGCCTTCTGACTTAGCACAAATAAGCTGCATGCTAGCAAATAAATCGATAAACAAAGCAGGATTTTATTTTTTCTGTTTATCTTTTCGCATGAAGTTCTGTCTGGCTGCACCTGCTCACAAGCCAGTCTTGAAAATCAGATTTCTTCTAGGTTTACAGGGCCTCTTTTGTTCTGAAGCAACAGCCCAGAGCTGTGTCTCACCCCAAAGCGGGTCCTGGAACCCCCAAACTGCCCTGTTTTCATGAATCATTTAACCTTGATCTGTTCTTAAATCCTCCCTGAGCACCCCCCCCCGCCAAAAAAACCAGCCTGCAGTGGCAGAGGGTGCTGCTATTGCTGATGCTAAAGTAAGATTCAAGAACCACGATTCTAGTGCATCTTATAGCAGTCTATTTCATCTAGATGGTTATTTAACTATGCAGTCTGCTGAAATACATGTATCAATTCAATGTACAGATGGACCTGTTGAGTCCTTTGGTTTATTTAAGCACGAATGTCTTAAATAGTTACAAGTTGTTTTGTTTTGTTATGCTTCGACGATTGCTTTTCTCTCCTCCACTGCTTTAGGTTTTGTTACAACTGCAGAAAGTAATACATTCTGCATGTGGAACGGGGAGAGGCTTTCGGGAGCAAAATGGCCGGGCTGGTCCGGGTTGCAAGATGCAAAACAAACCATGCAGCAGTTGCCTCTGCACTGCATGCAACGCACCGGGCCTGTGCCAAATATTGCTAGGGGCCCCGCCATGCTTTAAACCCACTGCAGCCGCGTAAAGGGGGAAGATAAAAGGGTATTTAACGTCATGTCTGGATCCGGGTTGCCTTGCCTTGCCTGCAGTAGCAGCGCTTAGCACCAGGAAAGGCAATGCCGGTGCAGAATGGGAGGCGCGTCTTCCTTTTCGGGATCTCGCTTCGTCTTGACACGTTAATGGGCGGCTTATTTCCTAGCCGGGCTTCTCCCGAGAGGTTCCCCGCCGGGCAAGGCGGCCGGGGGCGACGCCCCTGCCCGGCCTGACGCCCCCCGGGCCGAGGCCCCGGTCCTGGTCCCGGGCCGGCGCAGAGCGAGAGGCCGCCGGCCCTCCGCGCGGCCGACCCCGCAGGGCTGTTGGGAGCCGCCCCGGGCCCTGCGGGAGGGAACCCGCGGAGGAGGCCGCGCCTACAACTCCCAGCATGCCCGCGCGGGCACGCCGGGCCGGGGCACGCCGGGAGTTGGAGGCCTCCCGCGGGGCGGCGCGCATGGAGGGCGGCGGGCGCGCGGGCGGCGCGGCGGGGAAGCTGCGGCTGAAGCGCAAGCGGGGCGCCCCGGCCGCGGGGCCCGGGTGAGCGGCGCGGGGGCTGCGCGGGCACGTGCGCGGGGGCGGGGGAAGCGCGCGCCCGCCGGCCTGCGGGGGCTTGGGGGTGAACCGTGCACGCCCGCGCGCCCGTGTGCAGGTGCGGAGGAGGCGATACACGTGTCGGGGGAGGTGGGCGGTTGCGTGTGGGTGCAGGGAAAGGCGTGCACACGCACACGCGTGCGTGCGGTTTGTTCTTCGGCGCCGGGCGAAGACCTTTCTGTTCGAGCGTCATTTTGCCAGGGCGACTTATTTTATATAGTTACATGCCTTTTATATTGCTATTTATGTATTTTAATTGATTTATTGGCAAGCCGCCCCCAGGCTTCGGCGAATGGGGGCGGCCTAGCAATTCTCTAAATAAATAAATAACATAGCGGGCATGTGCACGTAGGTAGGGAGCTGTGTGGGCAGGAAGCGGGAGCCGGGGGACGCGTGCACACGCGCGTGGGTGGAGATGCAGCCCCACGTGTGTTTCTTGAGGGAGAAGGTGCGCGCGGAAGGGTGCCCTGGCGTGTAGGCATCTTGATCTACAAAAGCATCATTTGCACCATTTTACTTGCTGCTTTGGAAAACTCCTGCTGAACTACGCGAGGATTGCACTGGGCGAGCCCAACTCGTCCCCTGCGCGGTTCGTCCCCTGCACCCACCCGGCCCCTCTGCTCCGTGAGGGGCATCAGCCACACTGTCCTCTCTCCCTGGACCACCCAAATGCGACTGGACGCGTTTCCAGCACACACAGAACGGAAAAGCAACAATGCCTGCTTTTTCTGCATTTTTGAAATTTCCTGCATCCAAGACTACACTGGGGAAGAGAACGCAGCTTTGGAAAAAAAGCAAAAAGAGAACAGCCGAGTGAAGCAGAAGGGGACAGAGAAAGAGAGAGAGAGAGAGACTTCGCCTTGCACAACCGCCCACTAACACACTGTTAGCTCCCACTTGAGCTAGCAAGGAAGTTAGCCCTGGAGGGTGACACAGTCCTGTTGGTGAGAACCGCAGGGCTCGCTGCTTGCCAAAGGGTCTGGAATAGGCTCCCCACCCCAGTTGCCTTGCCCAGATGCCAAAGGCAGGCAGCGAGACCCTTGCAGCTTTACAAAAGCAGAGCTTTGTGAGAATGTTGCCCCTTGTTACACAGGTAAAGTAAAAAAAATGCCAGCATCCAGCCGCATCTGGCCTTACCTTTCCCAGCAGAGTCACCCACAGGCGTGCATTTGAGGTTTAACTTCTCAAAGTTGCCTCCTTGAGAAAACCCTTTGAGCTCAGCCTGTGCCGATAAAAAAGAAAGAAAAAGAGTGACATGGATGATTTTCCTTCTGGCAGCTTTTTAACACACATTTAGGGATGGAAAGAGGTGGGTGGATTGCAATCTGAATTAGTGATTTGGGGGTAGAAAATTAATGATCCTGGCTGTAATAGAAAAGGGAGCTGGAAATAGGCAAGTTCAGCCCCTTTTTATTCCCAACCAAGGTCTTTTTGAAAAGCTTCTAACAGAAATTAAACCCAGTCTTTGGAGTTTCTTAACTATGGCTTGAAATAGTAAGACATTTCCATCCATCTGTGGAACACGGCTGCTTTTTACAATAAAATTAAAATACAATAATGTGTAATTAGTCTGTACCAAGTCAAGTTGAGCTAACTTTCCTTAATGGAAAAAGCAAGCATGATAATCAGTGGAATAATTTCAGTGAATTTTAATGAAATTACTTGATTATCTGCATTTTGAAACTACGAGTGAGTACCAGTGATGCTGGTTGCCATGGCAATCGCAGCATAAAGCCGGGCCTGTTTAACTTCTCTCCCAGCTTTGCCGTCCCTTTTGTGAAATGTGGGAAGAAGCCTCGCTTCAAGGAGGTATATTTGTCAAACTTTCTCCTTCTCCCAAAAGGGGTCCCTGATCAGCAGGAAGTTTCCACTGAATGCTTGAACCCTGCAGCACCGTTTAGAAAAAGTCAGCTTGGACGTAACGGTGGCAAATTCCAGGGTTGCTTAACCCAGGCATTGTGAGGACAGGGAAAGGACACAGAGGTGTGTGCCTGTGTTTCCATTTTCAGTTAACACACTCCGAAACTTGGTGTTCTTTGTGGGTGAAGCGATAAAGAGGATCTAACAACAAACTGGGCAAATCTGGATTTTGCTGGGATGCAAACTTCAGGTTACTGGGGAGAGAAGAAAGTTGTCCCTGCATCCCTAAAGGAGGGTGGGAAAAACCAGGAATGAAGCGGATTTTGTTTCCCTGCCTTCATAGGCCAATTCATGTCATTCGCACTGGCTTTAGCATACAACAGCCATTATTGTTGCACAATTGTATAGTTCTGGGGTTCTGTTGAGGTGACTAGAGCTACGCTGGGTGACGTAGGGATTGTGATGTGATTCTGGAGAATTTTCTGTCTTGTAGAGCACCTGCCAGCAGCTCTTCCTGGTTTGAAAGGGAAGACTTAAGCGACGCTGAAAACACGTGGATAACATTACTCAGGGCCGTGGATCCGCAGCTGAATCTCTCAAACTTAGAAAAAGTGGTCAGCCTTCCCAAATTTCACACAAAGGTAAAGAGGTTTAGAAAAAGGCTGTTAATGAGCATTAAAATACTGCTTTAAGACCAAACAAAGTTTTCATTCAGCAGAAAGGGAAAGCAAGAGAAAATAATTTACAAGTGAATATGTACGGACTAGGCTTGTAGGATGCTGATAGTAGGGAATATATCAGGCTTCTGACCTCATTCATTCTCCTTAGCTCCTTCGATAATAATCTTATACAATGGGAAGAAGTTTGTACTGCTGTTTATCCCTGTATTATTTTAGAAAAGAGTAAGTTGAAATGGGCCCAAGCTGTCTGTAATTCTGGGAAGTATCTCCTCTTGTGATATGATATATAGTTTCACTTGTGGAGGACTAGCTGTGTCTGGGGAAGAAATTTCTCTTTATTTTTATTTCTAAAATTTATACACCGCACCTATAGCCCTGTTAGGGATCTCTGGGCGGTGTATATTTCCATTAAAGCCAACAATAAATAGCTCCATAAAAGACTACGCTGCAACAATACGGATAAGGTATAGCAGCTTAAGACATCAGTTTAAAATTCACAAATATAAAGCAATACAAATCAGTTATGTAAATACCTGGAAAATAGAAATGTCTCCATGTGGTTTTGAAACACTAGAAACATAGAAACAGAGCGAGTCCGAAGGGGTCTCCCGGGCCATCTAGTCTGACCCCCGGCTCCGCTCACGACATGCCCACCATGTGCATGTCCAGCCTATGGTCCACTAGCAATGGTAGTGCCAGCTGCACTTCTTTGGGGAGTCTATTCCAGAGGTGGGGGTGCAGCCACTGAAAAGGCCCTTCTTGACATCCCGCTCACCTCTTCAAGGGATAGTTCCTTCAGGAGGGCCTCTGACTCAGTTCGTAAGGATCAGACAGGCACATACCTGATTCAGCACTGCTTGGCTAAAAAACTGGGCTTGTTAGCTGAGGAGATGCTTCTAACCATACTCCACAGCCTCCAGAATACACAGGAGGTTACTCGGACCTCTCCAGTGAACCTCCATGTGTAGGAACCTGCATTTTGCATATTCAAAACCAACACTTTACTTGTTACGTTGGCCTTTCTGTATTCTGGGGAGAGGCTACACATTTAAGAGAACTTGAGTTTGTCTGTGTTGCAGAACTCTCAAACTGCAAATCCTCCACCAGAACCAGAAACTTTTAAGGCTGGGACAAAGCAATTCCAATGGGCTCCATTTCCACTTTACTGCAGAGAAGGTACCGAAAGAAATGATTCCAGAAATCATCAGAACTCTGAAAATGAAACCGTCTGTTTAATGGATAGAGAAAACAGTGAAGATGAGAGATTCGGAGTCAATTCCCCTGCTTCTAAGCAAGTTCCTCTTAGAACCACGGAGGAATCGAGAAGCAGAGACGGCCCAAAACGGTCCACGGAGCTGGAAGAGAGAGAGAAGTGTGTTGCCCGGCAAAGTTCGCCAGGACTTTCTTCCTCAACCATGCAGAGCTACTCGGCACCTTGGAAAGGGGCTACTATACAGAGTGAAGCGGAAAGCAGGAGAGAGAATGAAATTTCAGAAAACAGCGTGTTGATACAACCCAAGGCACTAGGTAAAGAAGACGGATCAAGATTACCTGCACAAGAATCGCTTTCTGCTCAGGAAAAGACAGAGGATCACGTTCTGACTCTTGACCGGTGTCCTATGTGTCAGATACGCTTTACACGAACGTAAGTAAAAGTCACTCTATTACTTGAGTTCAGATCAGTGCAGCAGAAAAGCCATTTAAAAACAAACAAGCAAGGGGCTCACAACCAAAATGAGGAAATGGGGGAAACGCAGCCCAGCTCGTGGGGTGCACAAAAATGGGGGTTCATTCTGTGGGAGACACAACTTTTCCTGCCGAACATGGAAAATTGCATGTATGTGTCAGTACGGGGGTAACTGGCCGATTTTTCCTGAGCAGGGCTGCACTGAAACATGTTGAGAACCACTTTACACTATGGGAACAACTTAACAGCATTAACACTGTGTGTGTGTGTATGCACCCATCACCACAATTGTTTCCCAGCTTGGCACAGCAGACAGACATGCTACCATTAAATACATAACTAACACACTCAAGGTTTTGAACTCTGTAGCCAGTTCCATGTTTATATAGTTGGAAGTGAAACACTGAAAGCGTCACAGTTTGAGCCCTCTATTCCTAATAAACAAACAAAACGTTGACAGGCAAAGCTCTCACATAGCTTGCAAAAAAAAAAAAGGCAATTTAAATGGATACTCTGGACAGACCTTAAATGTATGTTCACTTTAGCAGGCAGAACGGAAGAGAGTTAGTAGTCTATAGGGAGTAAAATCCTGGAGAACTTTGAGCAGAGGCTAACCTAGATGAATGTTTAGGCTGATCTGGGACGAGATACGATGCCCTCAAATAGAAGAGGTTCCAGTCATTTTGGATAACCTCCATCCACTATGGATAACCTCCATCAAGTGTTTGGCCTAGTGTTCCTTTTCCCATCTCCGGTGGAAGTTACCCAGGAGTGAGTCTCATATGAGGTCACACAGGTGCTGTACTTAGTCCAGGAAGCTCCGTATAAGGAGAACTACTTTTTGGAACACTCTTCTCCTGCAAACATCACTGGAAGAGGTGAACATGTCCAGTTTAGCACGTTGGCCGAAAGAGGAGGCACTGCTGATCAACACCGGCAGAATAACCATTTGGTTTTGCTAAAAATGACCAAAGCAGCTGCCTTGTCTACTCAGCCCTGGAAGCTTCTTTCCAAGAGTGGAAAGGGTTGAGCGCCGCCTAAAATTTATGCCGCTCCCAAGGCTTCACACACACAGTGTGTACTTGCGTTCTCCCTGGGGTGCTTCAGCTTAGTCCCACAAGAAAGCAGAGTCTGTTGGGGGGTGTGTGTGTGTGTGTGTGGATCTTCAATGCAGTTGTCAGCAGAACTGCAACTGAGGGAGGCCCATCAGATGAAGCAGAGAGATCTGGAATTGTGGCCACTGAAAACAAAACCTAGAAGGTTGGTGAATAAGGACATGATAGTCTCCCAAGAATTCCTGGGATAACTTTTGAGACACTGGTGCCCATTCTGCAGAGTTTCTTCATGTGAGGATAACTAGAGATTTGCTTTGGGTTTTGCTTAGCTATTTAGCAAACGACGTAGAACACATACCTGGGTTTATACCACGTACTACTTAGCGTGGTATAATCCCAGAATGCTGTTCAGTCCTCGAAAATATCTCAGCACAGAACGTCCTGACGTCTTTGAAGGCATTCAGGATGAACTGGACGTCTTGCCTTTAATCTGCATCTTTGCAGGGATGGCTTCCCAGGTAAACTTCCCAGGTATGAAATTGACTGAGTCCCAGTTGCCCGGTTTGCACAACTCTGGCAGGGCAAGTAAGTCACAGAGACTCCTTTCCTCCATGGCACACCAAGGGGGTTAACATGCCAGCCCAGAATCGGATGATGACAAGCACAGTTGAGAACCAGGCCTCTGTGTCCCAGCTCCCTTCTTCCAGGCAAGACACGCAGAGTAGCATAGCAGTAAGAATATTACACTGGGAACTGGGAAAACTGGATTCAAGTTCGCATGCAACCATGACTGGGGGACTCTGAGCCAGTCACTGGCTCTCCAGATAACATATTTCACAGGCTCCTGTGATGATAACATGCATGGGAGTATGAAAGCTACCTCAGATTCAAGAAAAACAGTGGAACAGAAGTGTTAATAAATCAATAAACGGGGGGTTACTTTACATATTGCATGTCAAGGTACAAACTGTACAAATGTAAACATTTGCCAGGGCTGTTGGTGGATGATGGCTCAGGTAGTAGATATAACTCAGCCAAATTGGAAGCGAAAAGTTCTCCTTACCTGCCTCCCTCTCCTGGAAGTTGGCCCTAAGAAATCCAACTGGATCAGGGTCTGGAGCTTTCTTCCCCAGCTTCTGCTTCTCCAACCCTAGAATTCTTCCAACACAGAGGGTGGTGGTGGGGAAGACTTTGAGTTCCTCATTTCCTTCCTCTCCTTCACTTTTTTGATACACCTTTCCATGTTGGCTGACATAGGTGGAATCTTGATGGAGCAGAGAATCCTGCAACAGAAGATGGAAAATTCATGTAGGTTTGGACCATCCAGGTCACTAGCGCTTCAGGCTATGGTCCTGTGAGGCCCTGTCAGAATGCGACCCGCTCTCTCCACCCACGTCTTGTAAAGATCCCCAAAAAAGCATGTTGAGGGGCAGCATTGTAGGTACCCATTCTGTTGTGACTAAAACCCATAAAGAATTGGTGAACTACTTCACTGGAGAAGCAAAAAGGTCTTCTAGAAGTCTGGATCTGCAGAGAGGCTGAAATTCCTGAAGTCCCCTTCCCTTAGCCAATTCCTGGTCATTCCGCCAATCTACTTTAGCATTGGGAATCCACCTGACCGGAATTACGGTTTAGGAGCTGACATCCAGTCCAGCAAATGAGCGAGGAGACATCTTGTGCAAGTTTGTGATGATTTTGTGCTGCTCTGTTTAAACTGATACGATTTCCTGAAATCCAGTCAGCACTGGCCCAAGATGGAAGCTTTGTCTGGCAAGGGTTTGGTAACCCGAGGAGATGCTTCGTAAGAGCTGGTGGTGCTGGCAACCAAGAGGACAGATTGCTGCTGCCGGAAGGACCCGAGCGCCGTGGTTTTCTTTGCCGCTTGTCCTAAGGGTCAAACTTGGAAGCCAGCACCTAGCAAAACAAAGAGCTCAGTTGCCTCAAAGCTGGTCAGAGCACACAGCCTCTGTTTCCAACCCATGTGGGCCTCCAGCCCCCACCCCCTGCCTGCTAATCCTCACTCTTAAAGAAAATTAGACATTCGGTAGACGCATTACAGTGATCTTATCTGCCGGTCTGATCATTTCGATTCTTTCTGATTCGCAGAATGTCAACGCTGGACCTTGATAATCATCTTGCTAAATGCTTGTCTGAAAGCACAGAAGATGTGATTTGGTAACTAAGGAGGATCTGTGTTACAGGAGGAGAGGCAACACGACCAGCAACAAAGCAATCTGCTTTAGGGAGTAGCAAGAGAGTTTAAAAAAGAGGAGAGTCAAGTCCCAGTTAATATTTTGCTGTGCTTTTAAGTTCTAGTGCGTAGAGGTCCATCCTGCAGGTACCTGTAGAAGCATGGTGTCTGACTGCAAAAGCAGTACTGAAGAAGCGGTTTCTAAAGGAATAGATACGCGGATGGACTATTCACTGAACAGAATTTAAAAGTTCAGCAAGGAAATGTTTTTTTTTGGGGGGGGTCCCTAATGACTCACTTACTGAAAATTAAAAGCCACTGAGATGATTTGTTTGTCCCTCAGGAGCAGCCTTCAATAAAAAACGGGAGCTGCAAGTTTTCCTCTGTTTTAAATAAACGCATTTCTTCAGTATGCTTCCTTATGCTCTTTTAAGATGTACTTCATGGAGACATCGCCAAAGAAGCAAGCTTACTGTATAGTCCCGTAAATACCTTAAGCAGATGTGATACATGAAACAGTAGAACCTGTTAAACCATTTACAGCAAATGTTGATCCTACAACTACTGCTCAGGAAAGAAAAAGTATTTTAACTAAGAAACAAGGTCCAAAATAGGAGCTGCTTTTCGTCATAGCAATTCCTTCAAAGCTGCAGGCTCTTGGGCTAAAACAATCAAAGCCTACAGTTCTTTGGGCATAAGTGCTTCTGAGTATGTTATCAGTGAACATACCAAGTTGATCTCAACAGCAAATTAGGTTGGCAAGGTTTTCGTTTAGCAAAACAGGCAATTTTTTCATTAAAGTCTTTAATAGATGTGCAAGAATATAAATGATCTTAGCGGTTTACGGGCTAGTATACCATCTTTTGCACAAATAAAACTGGCCAAAGATCTCAACTAGTTAATTATACAAAACTACAAGAACATATTTACTGTTTTACAATCATTAAATTAGCTAGAGTGTTTTCATTTACATTTCATTTACATACTAAGACAATTATATCATTACCAGATCCATTTGCAATATATTAGGTTTTTTTTTAACCACACATTTAATTACATCCTTCATTTTTCTTTAATTTATAAAACAAGAACTTTATATAAAAAAATTCCCCTTCGTCATGGACAGGACATTAAAGTCATACATTTGCACATGAGCAACTCACTCGTAACCAGCAACTTATTTGGCAACACAACAACATTGTAAATGCCTTAAATTGTAAAGAAATCAAGGACCTGTTCCTTTATGTCTGAGCAAGTCTGTGTATCCACTCGCTCGTTCTGCTCTAATGTTCTGATACCACAAAAGGGCAGGGCAAAGACCCCTCTGTTTGCCTGGTCCTTCTGTCCCAGGACCGGGCGGCATCCGTAGATCGTATCACCATGGAAAACCAGCTGCTCAGTTGTAAATCCAAGATACAGAGACACCGAACATCCAGGGTACACAGAACAATTCACGGAGGAAGGAAAATGGTTTTCAAAACCGTTTTGTGGTTCACTTGCAAAGAAAACAGGATTCCCTCTTGGCGCTAGGTGACTTAATTATCTAAATCCCAAGTGTGGAGGAAAGTGCTTCTAACTTTATTAAATCACTTTAGTGCTGGTTAGAACATCTCTTAGTACAAAAAAAAAAAAAAAGGTACCGCCCGGAGCAAAATGGTCATCAGCTCTGGACGGGGCTAATAAAATTGAATAATCACAGATGTGCGTTAGTTCAGTGGGCAGGGAAGGGGCCTACAAAATATAGACTTAGGTGCTGGTTCTTGGAAAGATTTTTCAATACCATGATTTGGCAGTCTTATCCTAGCACCTCATGGATGTCAACGCAACCAGATTTCGTGTTCAGCACCTAAGGTAATGCTGTACCCTGAGAAACCTATACAAGAAAAGTAATGAGAGAACGGTTGCAGGTTTATACCAAATTAGGTGAGATTCCATGGCACACAGGGATTCGCTCTTTTCAGCAGAAATTCCTTCCCCAGAAGCTAACTCAGAAGCTAAAAATGAAATACTGCCTCTTGCTGATAATTCTGAAAGGTTTTCGATAACAACACACGCTTGTTTGTCCTCAAATGAATGGGCACGTTTTTGATTCCCAAAGCTGATGAGCATTTAACCTGATGGAACATTCCCCTGGTTATCGAAAGAGGAAATAGACATATTTTATGTTATAGTCATACAGTATGTATACATCTGCTCAGTTTCTCCATCGCTAAGTTACTGCTTTGATAAAGGTTGTGTTTACCAAAACATCCTCTTAAAAGCCGGTCAACAATATAAGCAGAACATCTCAAAGCCAAGTTTTAAGTAGGAGGTGTGCTTTATCAGAAAAAAATGGTTGATGGATTGCCTAGATTTTTTTAAACGAAGGCTGTGATCCATTATGTTTCCATTGATCCTTCTGAATATTGCATTGATAAAAATATTCAAAAATCTAGTATACAACACACAACACATCATAGGCACTGCGCAAGTATTTTCAGAAATCCACTGTGCAAAAATTTAATTTTTCTAACAAGGTTTTGGTAACTTTTTCTTCTGCATTAAGCGTAATCCAGATGTTTAAGTCGATCGGTTCTAATTCGGAATTGTTATTGCTGAGACCTCTGTCCCTTTAAAAAATTTGGTGAAGTTAAAAATTAGATAGCAGCTGTTAGTTGCATGTTCCATCTGTAAAACACTTTCTAAATAATGAGAACTTATTTTTAAATGACCAGGGGTTTATCAAGTGTTCCAAATATGGAATAATTTATGTAGTTTATCCATTTAGGCACTTGAATACCGTACCCAAATTTGTTACCAACTGCTAATAAAACACAACTCCTTTTTATTTCTTCAGTCTATATGCATGTGCATGTATGTATACATAAATACATATGTGTGCACACACACACACACAGACATTTAAGATAGGTACCACTTGTGAAAAAAAGGCATCTAAAGTAAGCTTCAACACCACTAACAATTTTATTCTTCAGGATGTTACACTGTTCTAGGAGGCTGTTGCATGAAAATGTCCATCAGAAACATGCACTTCGAAAGTGTTTTGGAATCTCTCTCTCCCAAGGATGCAACGAACCACTGATCCTTGATGAAGCAGGCACGAAATGCAGATTTCTTCGTGAAGCCAGCTCTGTCAGTGCCCCAAACTTTATTTTTAAAAAATAGAGGAAGACACCCACCAAAATCATGTTGTTTTGATTTTTCAGCAGCAATTTTTTCATCATTGGTTTCCACTTAAAACCTTACAGTTTACCCCCAGCCTTGCATGCATATACTGTTGTTAAGGATTAAATGTCAAAGTTCATTCACATGGTTTGTCCTCTATGGAGATGCCAAGCTCTCATACTGTTTCCTCAGCTGACAGCAACAGTGGATTAATATATTCGAATCCTTCAAACTCCGACTGGTCTATTCTCTTTATTACATCTCTGCAAATGGAAAAACACATTTCCATTTAGTTTGTTCGTGCAACTGCTCTCATGCTTTGGAGAATGCAGACAAGCAATGCTTACTATTCAAGAAGTCATTGGTACGGACTATTGCATTGTACAGAGCGACAGAGTTGGAAAGGCAGTATTTTAAAGCCCGGAACTGGCATTCCCTCTTCCCAAAAAGGGGAGGTAGCCATGTCTAAATGGGTGGGTAAGCATCTTTCTGTGTCACTCTCCCTAAATGTCGCAAGGCCAGAAAAAGGCTTAGTGTCGAGCTCAAGGACGATATCCTTCAAGGACGAGGCGGTCTATCAAAGAGGATTCAGCAGCATGACCCTGACCCATGAGATCACAGGGGTCATTTCTGAGGAAAAGGGGCCTTGGAGGAGGAAGGAGGAACTCCTGCCTGAACATCTAGCGTGGACGCGAAGTCTGGCTGCTGGGCCCCGAAAGATGCCCCACCTCTGCTCAAGAAGGTTCCTCACACTCCACAGGTGCCAATCCCACCAACGTGAGCAGGCCAGGGGTGTGAAGCACCGCTTTGGTACAGTACGGCTCTTGATGGGGACTGGAAGAGTCCGTGGTGGACGCTTGTGAAACACTCCTTGACAGAGATCCTCCTCCTCTCCCAACAAGTCCTGTCACCGAGGTCCAGCGGCTCCGCCAGGGCCCCCAAAACGCCCACCCAAATAAGGACCTTCCATACGGTGGCACTCCTTCTGGGAAACCTCCTGCTCCTCGAAGCCAGGAAGGCCTGAACACTGTGCTGCATCTTCGTGGTGGGCATGTCGTAAGCGGAGCCGGCTGGAGCTAGGGGTCAGACTAGATGGCCCGGGAGACCCCTTCTCGCTCGCTCTGTTTCTATGTTTCGTCTCAGGAGGGCTTCTTTGCGTGACCAGACACTGCTTTGCTGATACTCTGTTTAATACTCTGTTTTATTTTGTGCCTTCCTTTCGCCCTTTTCTCTTGTTTAAAGGGTTGCCCACCACCTTGATGGCTTTTGTAGCAGACAAGGCAGCGTATAAAGGTGAATACTAAAGAAAAAATACAGAGATGGCCCATTTTCAAAATGGCGCCTCTAGTGGGCCTCCAGATTTTAGGGGCACAAGGAAAAATGGCAGCACAATGGATGAATGTCCCAATGAGGCAACTTTTGCATCCTGACTCCTCGTACGACTCGACTATAAACACATTTTGGGTGGCATGCGAACGGCCTCATTCCAATGATCACAGAAGCAGAGAAGATGAAGTAATGTGGGTTTTCTCCTACGTTTCCATACAGGTGGGCATTTTCTTATGGTCTTAATGGCCCAAAGAACAGAGTGTCCACCTTTAGTTCAGATGCCGGGCTCTCCCTCAAGCAAGATGTCATACACTTACAATGCCTGCTAATGCCACAAAAGCTGATACGATCGCCTTTTAATAGTGAGCCTAATTAAGCTTAATGCATGCAAAATCTGCTTCGCATTCTCCTGAAGCTGAATAATTAGTGCTTCCTGGATAGCACATTTAGCAACATGAAAACATACTCATCATCTGGAGTGAGCTGCACGGGTTCGCTGGTGAACTGCGTATCGAAGTTATCCAAGCCGTAGTCGTCCGTGATCTGGGGCTGGAACGGAGGGGTCACTTGCTTCTTTTCCAGCTGAAGGGGGCAAGTGTGACAGACGTTATGAACAGCCCAAGATTAGAGAGACACACGCGCACGGCTGGTTCACAGCACAGCCATCGCCAGCACAATTAGGAGCAGAGGAAGCAGGCAGTTTGCAGAGGATTGTGGGTTTTCTGTAACTTGTACTATACAGAGCACAGAGTCTGGTCTCTTGGAAATCCCTCGTCTCTGTTCTCTGGCTTGCTGAAGGCCTCCGAGCCAAGCTGGGTTTCCACTGGCCAAGGTGGAGTTTGGATGACCTACACCATTCCTTTCTTTCTGTTAGTGTACTTCCTGTCTGTCTTCCTGTCTTCCTTCCTTCCTTCCTTCCAGATCCATTATCTCATGCTTTTGTGGACTACAGTCCAAGTCATATAAAGATTTTTAAAGATATAAAATTCCTGGAAGCTTTTAAGGCATGCAAAAAAAAAAAAGTTTGAAGTAAATGGATCTGCCATCTCTTCTCCTCAGAGAAAAACAACAATGGGGAAAATGAATCCTATGTTGCATTTACCTTCTTACTGAAGCTCAACATAATTTAATCTGCTATAACAACATCAAATGCATCACTTACATTTCAGCTACCATATAGAATTTAACTATTTGGCATACTGACGGCATTTGCAGAGTACTTTAATTTTAAGGCCGTCGTTTAAGGTAAAAATGCTACCAAGGTGGCTTACATTCTAAACCCCCTCTGTTCACGTTTACTCAAAAGTAAGCTCCACTCCATTGAGTGGACCTTACTTCCAGGTGAGCTTGCGTGAGAATACACCTAACACCTCTGTCTGGTTCAGAAATAAGGGTGGCAAATCATGTGCTATTAATGGATTAATTATAAATGGACTTGTTTTAGGGTCTGGCTTTGCACCTTGTGAAATACCTTCTCAATCAGAGGTGTATTCAAAAGGGGGCACATCAGAAGTTGTAGCCCTTTAAAACACAATCCAAACTTGCATAGAAACGGCACCTTTAATCTGCCAGATGCTACAACACTGTTTTTGCTGCCGCAGATGAACACGACACCCACTGGAAGTATTTGTTGTGGCTGTTGCTAGCCAAGGTACTCCCAACCGCTTCCCGAATTTCTGCTAAGCTGCCACTGGTGGGGGGGGGGGTTGTTTACTGAAGCCAAGCAGTACAAATGATGGCGCGTAAATAAATAGATCTGGAAAAGGAGCAGAAGCTTCACACGTGGCAATGCTCACATGCCCTGTGAAGATTAATTATGGATTTTGTAAGCTCTTCCAAGACACAGCCCTTGATGTCCTTGTCACAGACAGACTTCACTGAGCAGCCCTGATTTAGGTTACTAGCAGCGCATGGTCCCCAACTGTTTCCAGTGACAGTCCTCCTTGTAACATCACAACAGGCTGCAATGTCTTTTGCTTGCAGAAGCTTTAAGCTTCTACTTGCTTGTATCCCAAAACTGGGGGCTCTCCTCTCATGCTAACGCACTAAGGCCCCCACTATTTTGGACAACCCTGACCTTGAAGCAGGTGTTGAGATTTTTTTGGGGAGCGGGGGTCATGCATCCTGAACGATCAGTGGCTCCAGCTTTTGACACTCCAAATTAACAGTGTTCTGGACTGTGTATATACTGCTTAAAGGAGGAGAAGCAGCAATTAAAACGTAACAGTGGGGGGGGGGGAGTTGGCAGGGAAAGAGCCTTCTCTGCTGTCACACCTCACCTGTGCAATTCTCTTCCAAGCGAGGAACGACTGGCTCCTGCTTTGTCTTGCTCTCAGCGCCAAGTCGAGACTTTTCTATTTAGTATTTGTTTTCAGATTGGGCTTGGTTTGCAGCTTTGTTTTATTCCTTTATTGGTTGTTGATATTGGTTTATTGTGTCTATTTCCTCCTGTTCTATGGATTTGTTGTATTTATATTGTATTTTAATCCTATTTAAGGTTTCGGTTCGCTATTGCTTTTATTTCTATTTGTATTTTATACTGCACTGTGAGCACCCCAGAGAGTCTTTGGCTATGGGGCGCCATACGAATGCAAAAGATAAATGGATGGACAGATAAATAATAAAACACCTCCATGCTAAATTTTGCGTGAATTTCACCTGCATTGTTCACCGGGCAGGTTGATCAGCAGCTCCTGGCTTTTCAGAGCCCAAATCCCAGAAACAAAAGCCATTGAGGACAACGAAAGAGTACACACTGAACAAAACAGGCTGTGATCCTCGGAATTGCCCAGCGAAGGCTCACTAGCTGCTTTGCACGAATGAGCACCTGGCCCCATCTTGCACTGATAACCTTTGCTGTACGGTGTGACAGATGGGGGCTGGAGTGCCTAAAAAAAAATCAGTCTAAATCTTAGACTCATCGAACTAGCGTCGACGTTCTTGGGTTCCGGCCGTACCTGTTGCAAGACGCCTTCACAGTGCCTTCAACACTAAGGACACGGGTTAGAAAGTATGATTCGTTCAGCTGAACGCAAAACGTTTTTTTTTTACAGACACGAAGTCTGTGCCTGCAGTTTTGGCTTTTTGAAATAGGGGTCTATTTCGGGGCATGCCAGTACTTATCAACAGCGGCCGATCTCTTGCACAAAGGAAGAAGTGGACCCTTTCCGTGCCCTCCCACATATAACAACCGAGCTTTGCCGGAGAGGCAGTTTGAGCAATAACACAATGTACTAAAATGCACAATTCACCCTGCACTCAAGAGTCTACAGAAGCAGCTGACACAAATACGAGAGAAATACCGCCATGCTTCCAGAACTCTAAGTAGAACACAGCTGTCAAAAATATTATATCACTCACCAAATCTAAAACCTCTTCACCAAGGGCTACAGTTCTAAACACACTTACTATGGAACGCTATTCTCCGGGTGGAAATGCTAAGGACTGCAAAGCTTAACTACTACCCCAACCAGAAGAAAAAACATTGGATCGGTGTGGCTAGCCCAAAGAGGCTGCTATTCATGGAAAGACTAGCATAGTAAAGCTTCCCTTCTGACAAGGGGACCTACTCTTGAGTAATCCTGCATGATGAGACTAAACTAAATCTAATGGGCTAGGGACAAGTGTCTATACAAACATAAAATTAGTACAGGAGGGCCTGGCTCTCTCAGCCACTGAAGCTGTGACTGACAACCCACTTTTCTGCAGTAATTTCGCCCTGACAAGCAACAGCTCTGAGATTTTTGACAAAGCGCTCAGGAAGTTCGTAAGAAATGCCTGCACGCAACATTTCAAACTCGAAGGCCATCATCGTGCTAGGAAACAAATGAAGCTGAACTGAAATAACGAGCTTTACCAGATCCCAGTCTATGCTGCGAAAGAATGTGTGAGACTTGATGTCGGAAAATCCAGTTTGTAGTTGGCATCCAAGCCTCTCTTTGGGATCCTAGAGGCAAGAGTAAAATTGCTTTTTTCATTATTAAACGACAGCAAAGCGGAAGGGCAAGCAAACATACGGTATGGAGTATCAGTAAGTCATGCGGAAGTCACTGGGAACTACCTCCAAATTGACGTTCGTATAATCATATGCCCTTCCACAAAGACCTTATGTATCTAACTGACCTTACCCAAGTACTACTTGGACAAATGTGGTTACTTAAATGAGGGCTTATAAGAAATGTTCGATTGTCTTGTTTAGAATCATAAACAAGAAACGAGAAACACTGAACAGCAGCGTTGGAAGGGGCCATGAAGGCCGTTGAGTCCAACCCCTGCCACTGCAGGACACCAAGTTACACCATCCAAGTTACACCAGATGGCTGCCCAGGTTCTTTCTGAATGTCTCCGGTGTGGGAGAGCCCCTCACCTCTCCAGGCAGCTAGTCCCACTGTCATGTTGCTCTGACAGTGAGGAAGCTTTTCCTGATGTCCAGCCTGAATCTGGGCTGTTGCAACTTGAATTGATTATTCCGTGTCCTGCATTCTTGGATCAGTGAGAAGAGATCTTGACCTTCCTCTTTGTGACAGCCTTTGAGGCACTTAACAAGGGATCTCATGTCCCCCTCAGTCTTCTCTTCTCAAGGCTGAACATGCCCAGTTCTCCCAGTCTCTTCTCAGTGTTTCCAAACCCCGGATCATCTTTGTTGCCCTCTGCAGGACCCTTTCTAATTTACCTGCATCTTTCTTAAATCTCGGTGCCCAGAACTGGACACAGTATTCCAGGTGAGGTCTGCCTGGCCTTTGATAACTCCTCAATAAGGACAAGCACAAATATTTAGAACTGAGTTGAAGGTGTTTATTTTGTGGAGATGGATTTTATTTCGGAAACAAGGACATCCGTTAGCACAAGATGCTTCATTATGCCATGGGGGGCCCTACAGGCCGCTTTCTTAACCAGGAGAAATTTCTAGCAAGTGACCGGAAGGAAGCACTGCTTCAGGGATTAAAAGAGGAAGCAATGAGAAGTTAGCCAAAAGAGGAATGTGGTTTAATCCAGAAGAGAGGAGCAAAAGACAAGAGGCTGCAAAGCTTACCTTATTTAAAAATCCTTTCAAGACATGAGAGGCCTTAACAGAAAGGAATCTTGGAATTCGGATTGGTTTTTCAAGGATAACTGTGCAAAGAAGGATTTGAAAAAGAGCGTGTTATTATTAAAAGTAACACAAAATTGCAGAGTGCAAGTAAGAAAGAGGAACGGAGGCGCTGAGCCATGACTGGGCCAGACTCCAGAAGCCTCTTCTGAAGGTGGGCTGTTGTAGGAACACTGAATTTCTACACTGGCTCCTAACCGGTCAACTCCCTATCATAACAGATTATAGTAAATACACTGTAATGAACAGGTGAAAGCCAGACGAGAATTAACAGATGCAGGGCTGTACAATAGCATCATTCTGCAGTATTTGCCCTGGTGCTATACTACAATTAAGACACCTTAATTTTTTAGCATGTGAGCACAACAAGGAAAGAACATTCTATTGCAATATCATTTGTAATAAAACACAAATTTGATATAACTATATGAAAAATGGTGAGGAGAATCTACTCAGAAAGGGATATAATTCTGCCACCTTTCAGGGAAATGCGGATGAAGAATGGCTGGTTTATAGCTTTTTAAAAAAATGTTGTTTTGACAAGAGGGTCCCCCTGGCTGCATCCATTTTTTGACTATCCAAAGGTATCTTCCACTTCTCTTTTATCCTAGTTTAGCGAAGGGCAGTGATTTATCCTTTATCCTAGTTTAGCGAAGGGCAATCTTAAAAGATATTTAAGATATCTTTTAAGATATTTATCTCTAAGATATTTATGTATTCAATTGTTTTATTAAATAAATACCACCATACCAGAAAGTTAAAGTAAGAGGGTGGGATGGGCTGGATGCTGGACTGGGGACTTGGGAGATCCAGTTCTACTCCCCACTCGGCCATGAAGCTCCTTGGGTGATTTTGGACCAGCCGCAAACTCTCACCCCAGCCTACCTCACAGGACCGTTGTGAGGACAAAATGGCTCTGGAGGCTGCCTTCATTTCCTCACGGGGGTGGGGGAAGCAGGATATGAATCCAAGGTAATAACAGAATCGCAATATCAAATGCAAGTAAAAACCAAAGCAAAGCGAGGATTTAGAACAACAGAAACAGAAAGGGCAAAAACGTCTAGAAAAGTGGGCTGGACAGATAAATCAGTTGGCTCGGTACAGTTTCCATCTTGCTAAGATTCCTTCATTTATTAAGTTTTAGCCTATTCAATAGCCTATGCTCCCTGGGAAGATTAAAAACTAGGTTTCCTTATTTCAACAGGCATTCAGAAAGCAAGCCAGATAAGGTCATTTCTGACCTAGCTAAGGATATTTTATCTGCCGCTTTTTAAAAAGGGATGCCTAAATAATGTAGATTCTGGTTTTAAGTAAGGGCGCACTCTGGATTTGAAATGGGCTTAGCAGGGAACACGAGGTTTGCGTTTACCGGAAGTGACATTCTGTTTAGTCGTGAGTCCTCCGGAAGGGACACAGGGTCACGTTGCCAGAGACAGAAATCCAATACATACATCGGCAAGTGTGATGAAAATACCTTGGAAGAGGTAATCTTCAGTGTTCATATCCGGATTGTCGGTGATGATATCGAAGGGAGATCTTCCTGCCATCATCTCAAACATTAAGACACCTAGTGCCCACCAGTCCACACTAAACCCTGCAGAAACAGAACATTTAAAACATTGTAAAACAGAATAACCCCACAGAATATTTCAGGTGAGCGCTTCGGGGCTCCGTAGCCTCAGTTCTTTGCCTCCCTCCTGCACGAGAGCCACAAAGCACTAAAGAGCCTGATACCCGGCCTAGACAGAGAGGCCCTGATTCAGATGAAAAATCACGTTAGCGGAATAAGCTGCCATGAGGCTTAAGCTAATGGAGTTCCCCTTGCAGACTATCCTTTGCACCAAACTCATTTTGCTGGCATTTGTGGCTTGCACAAACTTGTTCCCAGACAGGACACCAAGCTGTCTTGTTTCCTCCCCAGCTTTGTCAAGGAAGCGGGGGAGTGGGGGGGGTGTGCATGAGAAATGCAACCCGGGGACGTGGACAAGACCACCAATAAAGCTTCCAGAGGGAAAGCTATCACAAACCGCACTTTCATTCAGAAATCCTGGGGTTATTACTATGCATCAAAGGACAGGAGGAAAATCAGTAAACTTCTGAAAACTTCAGGATATTGGAAATTAGACAGCCGAACACGAGCAGAGAAAGTCAACGCACAATGCAAGCCTTACAAATGTTCTGATTTTTAATCTGCTTCAAATAGCTGCACCTGGCTTGGGAAGGAATTTTACCTAAACTCTCAAACAGGAGCACATACAAAATGGATGCAATACTCTCTCGATATCATGTTTGCTTATTTTTACATTTGTAAGCCAGCAAACTATTCCAACAGGAATCTCTAGCCTCTTACAAGAAGTAATCACAAATTACAAATATTAAAATGATAATCAATAAACCCAATCATATACAAAACAGCGACTATTTTGCAATGGCCCTTGCGAATTGCATCAAGTGAGGGGGACAACATATTCACCAACATATTACAAGCAATTTACAATCAGTTTATATGTTTACATTGACTGGTGAAATATTAAAACTATCTTGCTGACCTCCAATTAATTCAGGAAGCACATTTGTATGTTATGCCTGTCAACAGCATTCAGCTATGTGGGCTGAGAAACAGACTTCACATTCTAGAGGCCCTGAAAGCAATTCAAGGAGATTGTCCACTTGTTTTGGAAGACCTGATGGGCACATTTTGGAAAGCGCTTGGAAATCTGTGCCACAAAAACAGAATGAGTAACCTAGCACACCCCACGATTAACCTGCTCCCTTTTAACAGGGCAAATATATGCACAGAAATAAGCAACACGTTAATGGTTACATAAAATTCAAACGTTAATGACTTGGGGCAATTAAACCATTGCACGCTCAATAGAAGAACTCACCATACTCTTCTCCACGCAGAATCTCTGGGGCGATGTAATTTGGCGTTCCGCAGAAAGTGCTTGTAGTGTCACCGGGACCCAATCCTTCCTGCAAAAATATAACATCAGACTTCATCTATGGAAAAGAACCACGGTCTGCAAAAAATGCCCACTGGTCACAAGCCCTTCTCAAACCTTCTAAAATTCACCAGTTTCCATTTTTACAAGCACAACACACCAAGTTGTCATTCCAAAATATTTAGTAGAATATGCTGTGATTGAAAAAAAGGAACACATGTCTCAAACGTCCCTCAGGATAATCAGATACTGAATCTGAAAATATGGGGTTAGGACGATATTTTTTATTCATTTAAAACTTTTACCCACTCCTGTGTTCTCGGGACGGTCTTACAATAAAACAGAGTGGAGCACGGCATCCAGGTTGATTTTCTATTCCATAAAAACCCACATTAAAATCAGAATGAAACCTTAGAATAATGGAAAAATTAAAAAATACACCCAGCACGATGTGCAACCGTACCTTGCACATGCCATAGTCTGTTAGCTTGATATGACCTTCTGCGTCCAGGAGAACGTTGTCTAGTTTCAAATCTCTGTAGATTATACCTCTCTCATGCAGGAAGTTGAGAGCAATACAGATTTCGGCAGCATAAAACCTTGAAAAACAGGCAATTTCATACTTTCAGGAGCAGTGCCGTCGAATGGCAGCGAGCAGATCTTTTCATGCACAATATTTCCACGTCATCCAACACCCTACTGGAGGGGCACACATATTTTTTTTAAACCTGAAGGAACAAGGTCCCATATTCCCCAACCATAATGGAACCCGGACGCTGTGCAAGTATCTCCCTTCAACTTTTCTCACGCACAGCGCCAAGTGTAGTAACTAATGCTAGTGTAGATCAAACCCCAAACTGTTTACGTAGCTCTGGTACAAAATTGGCTTCGGACGTACTCACAGCACCGATTTTGCAACCATTAAGATAAATAAAGAGCAGCTAGGCAACTGCTGGCCACGTGCTCTTAAGATTCTCGTGGGCCCCGTCCGGTTTAATTGTGTTGCTGACAGTAGCAAGAAAGAAGAAATCCTTCCAAGCTGCCGTTAAGAAAATACCTTGCATGTTCCTCTGGGAGTTTTCTTTGCCGTTGCATATGAAACATGAGGTCACCCCCATTCACGTATTCTATAACAAGAAACAACCTGAAAAGTATAACATACAAGTTCTGGTTATTTGGCTTGAGGAAGTCGCCCACCCAAGCCAGGCGGCGTCAAAGTGCTGGTGTCGCAGGCCATGCGGGCAGCCGCCTTCCTTCCGGTCAAGGACACAGTAACCATGCGGCCCCCTCTCACGGGGTCTCCCCACGGACGCTTGCAGCCCGTTTCCCGAGGAGGCAGGCCATGTGCCCAGGCGAAGCTGGCAGGATCAAAAGCACAACGCGAGAAGCCCTCGGAGCGCCCCGAAATGAGTGTCTGCACACGGGCCCTCGCCCACCCACCAGCACGCTTCGTTGGTGTGAGTGGGTGTGCATGCTTGCCCATGTGTGTACCGTGGTGCCCATTGCTAGTACACACAGGTGACACGTCCAGCAAGGGCTTGGTCCTGTTGAAACATTCTAGGCACCCTGCCTGGACACCAACAGGGTGCGGGACCCAGGCCTCTGCTGTCCTGCCACTTGGCTGGGCACCCGGCTTCCGCTAGCCCCCTGGCTTTGTCCAAGTGCGTAATTCACTGTTGCTTTTTACAGAAACCGCTCAAAAAGACTGACTTTTCACGAGGATGGCCGGACCGACAGTTTCCTTGACGCAAGGTTATTCAAGACGCAGGAAGAGCTGGCACAACTACCCCACCACTGTGCTTGGGGATGGCCTCTGCCCCCTTCTTGCCAGCGCCAAGGGAGTGCCCATGCAGCGCTTGTGGGTGGCTGGCCGGCCCTGGCTTTCCTGCTGGCTCTTCTGTGGCTTCCTCTCCCCGTTTTGCCTCTGCGGATCATGGCCGTTGGCCGTCAAGCTGGTTTTCCACCTCCGTGTCGTGATGGCCACCCCCTTCAAAGCGCTCCAGCAGGCCCTTGCAGGGGTGTCCCGTGGCTGCAGGACTGGGCGCTAAAATGCCACCCCCGCCCCGCTCCAATTGGCACAAATCTCTCTGGAGGCAGCCTTTAATCCTTTCACCTGCACTTGCCCAAGTCATGCGGAGGCGAGGATGGGGGCCGGGGGTGGGAAACCGTCCAGGAAGCACCTGGTGGCAAAGCCCCACAGGTGCTCATGCTGGGTATTTCCCTACAGGGGGTGCAGGTAAGCTTACTTCCCCCATTCATTGTGCCTGACGGCTGTCAAAGGCAAGCTCAGCGGATGGAACCAAAGGCACAAGCAAGGACCCACTCCCACTTCACAAGAGCGAGCTGGTACCTCCTTTGCCGGCTTCGCAGCACGATCCCCGTGGGTTTTCTTCTGGGGAAGGGGGTTGCGCAAGCGGTCTTTATTTGCTCTTGTTCTCATGATTTCACCCCCTCAGGAACATGCAAAAGTGCGAGCCACTGCAAGCACAAGCCAATCTTCTGGCTTGTTGCCCAGGTGGGTTGGGAAGACACTCGGACAAGCCCCATGCCATCCTGTCCTGGGCTGGAGCCTGATTTCCATTGGAGGGTCTTTTGGAAGCCACTTTGAGGGCTTCTCAAGGTTATGAAGTGGGATGCGCGCGTTTGAAACAAATAAATTGGGTTTACGATGCCTGCAAATACCTGAAAATTACACAAAACTAGATTCCTATCATTCCGCCTAACTATACATTTTGCTTCCACGTTATAACCTGGAGCGGTAAAAATATTTAAACATTTCAGCTGATGCAGACAAGAAAAATCCATTAGTGCTTGAAAGCAGCTAAGAGTTTATTAAGTGTGTTCCCAAAAGAGCCAAAACTGTTTATCAACTGGTGTTAAGTGCAAAGATGCCACCCTGATGAAAGGATAGGAGGCACCATTAATACATCATTACTTCGCTGAAGCCAGACGCCTTCCAGAAGAGGAGTAGCTAAAAGGGGGACTTTTAATTGCCCAAATTTGCATCCCGCTGGGAGGCCACTTAAGCACAATGGATGTTTAAGTCTTCATTTTTGGACGAGTTGATCAAGCTCTTGATGGGTTTTGCCGTACAAGAAGTATGAACTACAGCTTCTCGCTTCTCTGCAGGTGCAAGGGCTGGGGTTTCCCCCCATTCTCTTCCAAGGAAGGGCTACAAAAGTGACTTTCTGCTTGGCCAGCTTCATGGGGTAGGAAGAATCAGTCCGGACAACCGAAAGGGGGGTGCCCCTTGCCTGGAAAACATGTGACTCGTGGAACGATTGGCCAGGGAGCGCCTCCTGACAGACAGCTCTGTCCTCTGCTCCATGTACGGAAGACACAACAGGAGCTTCCTTCAGTAGGAACCTCGCTTCCCTTCCTCGCCAGCTAACCCAAGGGTGGCTGGGAGACTGAAGCACAGCCCTTCCGCCGAGTCCAACGAGAGCAGAAACTCCTTCCCGGAGGAACGCCAGCACCAAAGACGAATCGTCAACGCCATGCAGGAGGAGAGCCGTGCCGTACACGACGCAAGCCCTGTTTTTCCAGGCAATTTTACTGTGCACAAGAGGCCAATCGTGTGAGGATCGCTACGCCCTCTGGAGCACGCCAGACTATGAATTGTGCCGAATTATCTCAGTTCACCAGCCAAGCAACCTTCTGTGGAAAGATGGTACTCGCGCCGTGAGCAAGCTTGAAATCCTACACCTCCACTGCGCTCGGCCCGTTCTGTCAACATGCGGCCCACTGAGGCCAGTGGCAACCCTATAAACCCTCTGGGTTACGGCAGTCCCACAAAGTATCTCTCTGCTGCCCAACGATGTATGGAGAGATACCACCCGGCCTGCCCCCATTTTGTCCTCGCCCACCTTGGCGCAAAGTTTCCATTTCATTTGTAAATGTTACCTGCCAAGGGGTAAACAAACCAGGAACCGCCTTCATTTCCACCTACACTTGTGAAAACACTGTTCTGTTCCTATTCCGAAACACACCCACCACGCAACTAAAAATGCCCCTTTAAAAGCTTTGAAATGCCTTTTATTGAAAACACTGTGAATGCCATACAACTAAACGCAAACGGAAAGGCATGCTTTTGGTTGCACCTGGAAATCCCCTTGCTTAGCTTTTAGTCTTGCTTGCCAAGACTCGCTGAGGTGGTTTTGCTGGCTATGCTGGGACGGAGGGCTTCTTGCCACTCTTGGCTTCGGGTGCCCCTCCCACACTCCTAGCCGGGGGACCAGCGAATAAGTTGGGCTCTGGCCTCTTTGGGTTCACCTGATGAGGAGGACTCTCCTGCCCCACTCCTTGGCATGATTTTGTGAAGCTTGCAAGGAAGCCTAAGCATAACACCTCCCATCTCTCTCTCTCTCACGCCTCCTCTTCTCCACACCTGACACTGTTTCCACTCCTCCTCTGCCCAATCCCAAAATGCAGAAGCATCACTACACAACCCACGCTCTCTCTGCTCCCTTCTTGGACAAACTGCCAGCAATTTATCTTGCCTCTGGCCCTTTATTTCACTCTTTCCTGGAAATGCCTTGCCTCATCCAACACCCTCTGCCCAGATCTTACGAGATAAACCGACTTGTACTATTGGGTCCCCCAAACAATTAGGCTGCACCTGTGCTGCTCAGGTGCACTGTGCTAAAACCAGCTGGTCTCCGGGCCGGCTCGACTGTGCCAACTGGCGGTCTGAACTGAGCCTAGGCGTGAAGGGGAGACACCCCCGAGCCCCAGAATGGGTTCCCCAGTCGCTCAGGTTCCCTCAGTACAGAAAAGTCAGTTCTGGGTATGTACGGAAGCACGTGATGAGCCAGGCAGGTAACCGGGGTGAGCCGAAGAGAAGCTGAGCACGAGCACTTATGGACGCCTGGCTCCATTCCATGCCCTGTGGAGGAGCACGGAACGTAAACCTCGGCAGCCCCTCCTGATAGCACAGGGGCCGCCCGGACTCTCGGCACGCAGGGCCTTTGGGCCCAGGAAGGCTCTAGCAAACACCATAACACTGCCAACGTTCAGTGCATCAACTCACCGACTCGCTGTCTGAAAGCAGGAATGTAAGCCGACCAGGAAGGGGTTACTGGATGCCTGTTCAAACACGTGCTTTTCCGTCTGCACCCAATCGATGTCCTGAAATGCAGGAACGGGGGGATCACAATGGCTGCGGGGCCAACGGCACACCCTAAAGCCAAATGCAGTCCCGTGTGCGCGTCATCTGCCTTAAAGATGCCCTGCGCATTTTAGCATCCTTCTTGCGTGGAACGGTCCAGCTTTGCACAAAGCAGGAAGAGGAAGGTGAGTGTGAGTGTCAGAAAGGAAAAACCCGTCTGGGGAAAGGATGAAACCAGAGCCCGGGTTATTTGCTTGTGCACACCAAGATTTGTTAAAGAGGAGAGATGTTACTTTGGTAATTACGTATAAATGGCTTGGCCCTCTCGCGGACTCAGCCAAGCAGTGCAAATCCTCTCTCCTCCCTTCCTCAAAGCCGCATGCTGATTTAGTCATTTACTCTCGATGGTTAATTCTGGTTAGAATGACGCTGGAAAAATTCCTTCCCTCCCCGTCAGAATCCTGACCCAAACCTGAGTTCCAGATAATTTATGAACAAGTAAAATATCACTGCCCCTTAACATAGATTTCTGGTAGAATCCTTCCTTTATATTCCAAAGATGCTGCATTTGTTTCCTTTTAGGGGGGAAAAAATGAAGGAATTGCCAAGCTGGGATAAATGCTAAGAGACATCCTCACGTCTTCTTCCTCCCTGCTATCCATGGGCGGCCTCAGCCTAGATCTGCTGGCCCCCTCAGGGCTTTCCAAGAGCCAAGCGTCTTGTGATGGGGAACCCTTTCCTCAAGTGCCGGCCTGTCCTTCCTTGTCCACTGCATCCCTTGCAGCTGAAGCTTGTTTAATAAATGAGAGTAAATAATCAACATCAGCAGATCCAGTTACAGATTTCCCATGTCAGAAGTAATTTTGCCCAAATGATATCTCACTTCCTTGGCCTAAACAATATGGCAACTTTCGGGCCTTCGAAGAGGCTGAAAGCTCAGATCCAATTCATCGTATCAAACTTTCTGTAGATCTAATTCACCATACCAAGCTTTCTGTAGAACCAATTATCTTCAATATGCCCATCCAATGCCACCTAACTCGTTGGATCGGGCTCTTACCTCATCATCGTGGACTAATTCCTTCTTCACCACTTTCATCGCATAAATCTGATCATTCTTTTTTAACCGTACTAAAAGAACTTTGGCATAGCTTCCTCGTCCAATAACTCTGATGAGATCAAAGTCCTGTAGACTCAGCCCTTGAGAGATCTTAATTCCATCCATTCCATCAATAACTGGCTTGAGTTCCTACACGGAAAGGCAGAAGAGGTAAGACAACATGGAGCCTTTTGAAGAGAAGCTGGAAAGACGCTTAAGGTAACCAGAAAAACCGGTCAGTTCAAGCAACATACTACTTTTCCCCCCGACCACGTTTTTAAATTATCTTCTTGTGTTTGTTGCAGAAGAGCATTGATCGCTTTTTTCCAGGAGGAAAAGTTTACTGGGAAATTTTATATTGCACGAATCTAAGGGCAAGTTATCAACTGGGGCACCAGCACTCCCTTACCCATTTTCCCCAGCAACTGGTTTACTCAGGTATACTGCATGTAGCACACAACCATCAGGGCCAGCAGCCATTGCTCATCATCCCCTTTCAAGTAGTTCTGTGCACCTCCATCACGTCGTCCCTCTCTCACCTTTCTCCCCCAAGCTAAGCCGTTCCAGACGCTGCCATCTTTCCGCCCAGGGGAGTGGTTTGTTTATTTATTCATTTTTCCATTGATATCCTGCCTTTTTCCTACAAAGGGCTCAAGGCAGCTTACATCATTCTCCTCCTCCATCTTATCCCCACAACAACAACCCCGTGAGGTAGGTTGGGCTGAGAGTCTGTGACTGGCCCAAAGTAACCCAGCTGGCTCCATGGCTGAGCGGGGACTCGAACCCGGATCGTCTGAGTCCCAGTCCCACGCTCTTAACCACTACTCCACACTGGCTCTCACACTGGATCCCACCCCGAGATCATTTCAGTTGCCCCTTTGTGCTCCTTTCCACAAAATTCTACAACATTGCAAGTGTGGCGAGCGGAACGCTACACCAGCATTCCCAGTGCGGTTACACTGAGGAGTGTGACCTTGATAACTGAAAATAAAACGAATTATGAACAACGAGGAGCTTGCCTTTTTCAGAGCAGCTGCGCAACCACCGAGTGGCCATTTCCACTAAGTGACACACCACCCCCTCGCGGCCGATTCCTCGCCCAGCCCACCACTCGTCGGCGGAAACATGGAACCGGGAGTTGTTTGGTCCGGGAACGCCATTGCTTTATTCCCACTGGCTCACCTCGAGCCACTTTTGGCATTTAGATGTCCACCGCCCCAGTTGAGGGAGAGTTATGTACTTGTTTAAAGCTTTTATAGGCCCTCCACTACAAGCGTCTCGATCCTTTTAGAACCTCCCCATCAATCCCTTTGGGTTTCAGCCACCCGAAATACTTCTGGTGTCATCAGCAAAATGGTACAGCTCACTGCTCCTTCCTAATTCCAGACCATTTACGAAGAAGTCGAAAGGCACTGGTCCTTGTACAGGAATCAGGGTGCTTACGTCCCTGCACCGGAAGAACTGACTGCTTAATCTGCCTTATTTTCTAGGAATTCTCCTAGGGAGCTGCGGTGTCCTGGTGAGAGGAACCTGCTTGGAAGAACAGCCCTGCCAACAACACCAGCACACTGCATCCGATAGGATAAAACCCATTAACTGTTAAAATATTGGGAAAATAAAAAGGCCTTTGCCTGACGCCAAAAAGAATAAAGCGACGGCACCAGGCGAACCTCTGGGGAGTGTGTTCCACAGTCGGGGTGCCACCGCTGAAACGGCCCTTCTCCGGGTAGCTACCCTCCTAATCTCCTTCAAGGAGGGCTCCCGGAGAAGGAGCTCTGCCTCAGATCTCAAGGGTGGAACGAGGTGCTCCTACGGGTATGCAGCCATTTAGGGCCTTATAGGTCATTACCAGCACCTTAAATGGGCTCGGGCTTCAATTGGCAGCCAGTGTAGATGATATAGGACCGGCGTGATGTGGGAGCATCTGCCGGTCCCCATTAATAACCTGGCAGGCTCCATGCTGGACCAACTGAAGTATCCAGACCGTCTTCAAGGGCAGCCCCACGTAGAGCGCCTTGCAATAGTCCAAACAGGAGGCTACCAGAGCCTGGGTCACCATTGCCAGGCACTGCTCAGCCGGGTAAGGACGCAGCTGATATATCGAAGATGTCGATATGTCGAAGATGAAGGACTGAGTAGTCAGGAAAGGCAGGAATAATCAGACTCCGGAATATTAAGGCAAGACAACATACAGCCAGGTGCGTGTGCGTTTAGCATCATGAATACACATCTTTTCCCAGGGCAGGGCTGCAGTACCGATTGCTACTCTCACGCCCGTGGGTTATTCTCCGAGTCTCACTGCAGCTCGACTCTGCAGGAGCCACGGCTTCAGACAAAGCGTATGTGGGCCATACACCAAAAGCCACTCATGTGTGCCTGACCGACCCTGGCAGCCATTCAATGGAGGAAAGTGGGGAAAGGCAAGATGCTGCCTTGTGAAGGACTTTCTATTTATTCAATATTCTTCTGGCATCTCTTTGCTCTTTAAAAGTAATTGTTTTGAAAACCCTTTAGGGCCATTTAATGTTTTCCAGGATTTATTGGGCCACCGCTGATGGCGAGGGGGAGAGAGATAATGGTTCTGCTTTGCCGAGATGCCCTCCGTGAAAGAGTCAAGAAATAACTTGCCATATATTTCCTAGGGGGCCAAAATAATTGAGTTTATAGTATTTATTTGCACACCTCCAATGTCACTAGCTCCCAGTGTCCGTAAAGCAAACTAACAGGGCAATCCTGTGGGTATTTACTGAAAAGTCGCACTGAATTTAATAGGGCTCCCTCCCAAATTAGCATGTCCGGTTCTGTATTTTAAGTTTCCTTTCCCTCAAACATCCTTTCCTTTCCCTCACAGGTGAAAGCTAATACATTTTGCCCAAGAGCTGTATCTCTGCAGCAGGGATCCATGCCTGATCTCCCCCTTCTATTTACATATTTTATTTTATTTTTATTTATATCCTGCCTTTTTCCTACAAAGGGCTCAAGGTTTCCTCCATCTTATTTCTGATCAACTGACTGTAAAGAGCTTACATCGAAGTCCGGGCTCAATTCACAAAAAAAGGGCTTTACAAAACCTACCTCAGAATCATCTTTAATATTGTCATGTTTCCGGGCTGAAGGAATATAAGGTACTGCAGGACAAAAAGCACAAAGAGAGATAAACCAGTCAGTGCGTTTGTTGCAGAAGGGTGAAGAACAGAAGTGAACTTACACTGGCCAGCCAAACAACAAAACAGCAACTTTACGAGAAAGGAGATGCGGAATCCTGAAAACGGAGCGAAATTTCCTTGCCATTCTACTATATGGAATTTTGTGGGGAAGCCCCATTCAAGGAAGGATCGCTTATATGCCATGTGTTGTTGTTAGTCGCAAAGTCATGTTCGACCCATCGCGACCCCATGGACAACACTCCCCCAGGCCTTCCTGTCCTCCACCATCCCCTGGAGTCCACCCAAGCTCACACCCACTGCCCCAGTGACTCCATCCAGCCACCTCATCCTCTGCCGCCACCTTCTCCTTTCGCCATCTACTGTTCCCAGCATCAGGCTCTTCTCCAGCGAGTCCTTCCTTCTCATTAGGTGGCCAAAGTATTTGAGCTTCAGCTTCAGCACCTGGCCTTCTAAAGAGCAGCCAGGGTCGATCTTCTCTTGGACTGACCGGTTGGATTGCCTTGTGGTCCAAGGGACTCGCAGGGGTCTCCACCAGCACCTCAGTTCAAAGGCCTCAATCCTTTTGTGCTCAGCCTTCCTTATGGTCCAACTTTCACAGCCATACATTGCAACTGGGAAAACCATAGCCTTGACTATACGCACTTTTGTTGGCAGGGTGACGTTTCTGCTTTTTAGTATGCTGTCTAGATTTGCCATAGCTTTCCCCCACAAGGAACAAGCGTCTCTTTTAATTTCTTGGCTGAAGTTTGCGGTGATCTTGGAGTCCAAGAAAATAAAATCTGTCACTACCTCCATTTCTTTCCCATCTACTTGTCAGGAAGTGAGAGGACCGGATGCCATGATCTTAATTTTCTTAATGTTGAGTTTCAAGCCAACTTTTGCACTCTCCTCCTTCACCCGCATCAAGAGGCTCTTTAGTTTCTCCTCATTTTCTGCCACTAAAGTGGTATCTGAGGTTGTTGATATTTCTCCCAGCAATCTTAATTCCAACTGGAGATTCATCTAGCCCCACCTTTCTCATGATGCGCTCTGTATATAAGTTAAATAGGCAGGGCGACAGTATACAGCCTTGCCGAACTCCTTTCTCAATTTTGGACCAATCAGTGGTTCTGTGCCCAGTTCTCACTGTTGCTTCTTGACCCGCATATAGGTTTCTCAAGAGACAAAAAAGATGGTCTGGTACTCCCATCTCCTTAAGAACTGGCCACCGTTTGGTGTGATCCACACAATCAGAGGCTTTCGCATCATCAATGAAGCAGAAGTAGATGTTTTTCTGGAACTCCCTATGCTATGTATTGAGGATGCAAAATAGTTATGCATTGCAACTACAACGTAAAGGGCAAACCAGTCTGGGCACCGCGGCTTTTTTTTACCTAAATATGCACTGCATCGCGCCTGAAGCAGTCGATTTGCCTGGCTTGACATGCTTCCCTGAGTAAACATGCTTCGGATTTCTCTTCCAGAGGCTCAGGAGAGAGGAACAAAGCCAGACAACTTTCTGCAGGAGTACAAGCTGCTGCTCCGGCGATAGTTGCACCAGTAGTTCTTTTAAAGCAGTTGTGCTACAGCAATAATCCCCCTTTCTTTAAAGCTAAGGAAGGCCTATAATACCTTGAGATGACCAGTGGGACCTAAACCCCCCCTCCCCACCCCTTTAAAACCAACCAATCAACCAAAGCTTGGATCCAGAATTGCTTGGATCGGAACGTCACGTGATGGCTGGCCCGTTTGCCAGAAAGGTGAAAGGCAGTTCTCACCTATTTTTATTTATTTTTATTTTGTTACATACATTTATACCCCATCGTATCGCTTCAAGCGCTCAGGACGGCTTACAAGATAAGCCGTCCTTCTAGTTTGTCTCTGAAAATCTTCTCTGGAGGATTGGTCAGGAATGAGAGCACTAATAGCAATGCCAACAACAACACCAACAGCAAAGCAAAGAGCCCAAGGTAGTCATCTTCTGTGGAAGCCCTGGGGGAACGTTACATCGACTAGCATTGACTGTGATACCCTGTGGGCAAAAACCAGGGGCGATTCCATCAAGCTATAGCTCTTCCTTCGTAAAGTGGCGCATACCTGTTTCTCGTTTCACCTGTTCTGGGCATTTTCAAGAGGATAAGCTGACGCTCCCCTGCCTCCCAGCCCACCACCAGCCCGAACCAACTTACATAACCAGAATACTCACTTCCGTCATTCTCTTCTGTAGGGATGTCAACTTCATCATTTTTATCGTCTAACTGAGGTTCCTGGGAAGGCATCACAGAATCCTGTAAGAATATATATTACTGAAAAACCCACTAATGATGCGTTTTATGCAAGTCTGGTGTGTTCCCTGAAGATCCGTGGAAATTGGACTGAGATCTGCCTTGCTGTCTAGGTAGAATACAGCAAGCTCACTGTCTGCCTAGGCCCAGTGTAAACAAGCTCCATGCTTATGAATTCTCTTTCAAAACTAAAACCAGCATGCTGTGCTTCACTTGAAATACAAGCTCAAGCAGAATTAAAGATTGCCAAGGGAGTCCCAAGTGGGAAGGTGGAAACTCCGTCGAGCAAGACTGAGAATATAGATGCGAAGGAGCTTCCAAGAGGCAGGGCTGCATTCGACCATTCTAGCTCAGAGAAGAGCATCGTGCGACCCTGGAAGCATATGCTTAATGTTTGAGTGTGATTTCCAGCATCCTCTATACCCCAGAAAACTCCTGTTTTTGCACAAAGGAGTTGAAACCATGATTGCGAGGAAATCTGGAAAGCGATAAAAAGATGCTCAGAAGCTTCAACCCCAAATTTCTAATGACCACTTCATATTGACAATTTCCTGCTACAGAAACCTGATGAATCCAGACAAATTAATATGTACGTGAATGCACATATTATAGTGGGGCAAATCTTTCACATGATGGGTGGAAATGCAAAGCTTTTGGAAAACCAGGAAGGGTGGGGGGGAAGCCAGAGGGTTTTTGGGGGGAGATGTGTCAGAAAAAGCTAACAGAATTTTTTTGGGAAAATGTGCAATACTTATTTTTTCAGGCCATGCAAAGATGTGAAGTCACTGTGTTACTTAAACAACATAAAATCCACTGTGTTACATTTGCTTTACTCATAAAAGAATCATTAACATGAAAAGCAGACGCAATACATTTGGAATTATTGCCTGAATGAACTATTCTTTTAAACGTAATATATCAAACAAGATTTCTGTGCACAATGTGAAGGCATGTGTGATATATTTTAAACACTTCCCCCAAGACGACTTTGAAACATCTGACCGCATTCTTCAACCTAGTGCCATCCAGATGTTTTAGAGCACAACTCCCCCATTCCTGGAGTGGGCTGGGGCTGATGGGAGCTGAAGTCAAAAACAGGGAGAGGGCACCAAATCGGGAAAGTCTTATCGAAATTATCCAAGAAGCAGGACGTGCTGGAGGCAGAGGAAGGCTGGAGTACAGCATCGGTTTCTCTTTGTGAGGAATTGCTTGGGATGAAGTTAGGGGAAAATGCTGCTGATTAATTAGTAGAGGGAGGCTCTTATGTGATAGAAATGGTGCCCAAGAGTTTTTCATTTGGCAATCTCAGCCTCTCAATGACGTTCCCTTTTGTTAAACATTTTCTCAATGAGCTCCTTCATTTTCATTTTCTTTGAAAGGTTTTCTGGTGTTGATCTGAGGCCCTTGACAACAAAACCAAAACCAAAGCGGCACTCCCCTCCAAAAACACAAGCTATGGGGTTTCTTTTAGCACAGGCTAGGCAACTTTCCGATTTCCAGGCATTATTGCTCCTCCTGGACTCTCGGCACAGACCGCTCCCCCCCCCCCGGGTGCCGTCCACGCCCCCAGAGGCCCCCGCAAAGCCCCCAAACAACCAGAGGGCACCCTGTCGCACTGCAAAGCACAAGGAAGCTGCAATTTAGCTTGCGTGCCAGCTGAATGCTCATTCTTTTGCTAGTCTGCATGGATGCAATTTTTATGCATCCATTTTTCATATGCATATGCAATGAAAAACAAAACCCTAACCTTTTGCTTTGGCCACAAAGCGGGGGGGGGGGGGGCAGTAGGGGCAGCCTGTGGCCCACGGATCACAAATTGCCCATCCCTGTCTCCAACAGAAAGGGCTTGTTTTTGGCGGCGGCAAAGAATTTCGCAAAGAATTTCAAAAAGAATTTTATAGCCGAGGCAGCACGCCCTAACTGGAACTGAGGGCTTTCTTGAAAGCCCCGGGCAGTGCATTTCACAGACCCAAGCTGCCAAGGGAGGGTGTGTGGGCAAGAAACACTTCTGCAATAAGCCCCACAGTTTGCCACATGTGGCCGCAACGGCAGGCAATGCCGTGCGGTGTTGTCGCACGTGTGTGCTTTCGGGCTGCTTTCGCTGCTGCATCTAAAAAGAGCAACAAGGGATGTCTTCACCTGTTGAGATACAGTGGGTCTGGCTGCATGGCCCAGTTTCCCTCTGGAAACAGAAGGGCTTGCTCCATCCCAAAGTGTCTTTCGGGGAAAGGTACTTTAGGGCAATTATTTTCATAGGGGTGGGGGGAGAAATCGCAGCAAGGGGGAGCAACTCTACCCTCACACTGACCTCACTGTTTCCAAGCATTTTACAACTCTGGTCTTCTTTTAAAAGTCTTCCTATTATGTTGGTCATCCTTGCCTGCCTAAAATAGATAGATTGATAGATTCTTCAGATTGACAGACGGATAGATAGAGGGTATTGTCTCTGTGGAAATATGAGCACCTTAGAATCAGAATAGAGCTGGAAGGGGTCTTGAAGGCCATCTAGTCCAACCCCCTGCTGTTGCAGGACACCAAGTCACACCATCCCACTCAGATGGCTGCCCAGGTTCTTTCCGAATGTCTCCAGTGTGGGAGAGTCCCCCACCTCTTCGGGCAGCTGACAGTGAGGAAGCTTTTCCTGATGTCCAGCATGAATCTGGTTTGCCACAACTTGAACTGATTCTTCCATGTCCTACACTCTGGCATCAGTGAGAAGAGATCTTGACCATCCTCTTTGTGACAGCCTTTGAGGGACTTATAGAGGGATGCCATGTCCCCCCTTAATCCCCCCGGAGGGCTTGTGGTCTGAGTCAGCAAGTGGGCTGAGGTGTACCATATAATCTTAAAGATCACATAGAATCATAGAATAGTAGAGCTGGAAGGGGCCATGAAGGCCATCAAGTCCACCCCCCTGCTGTTGCAGGACACCAAGTCACACCATCCCACTCAGGTGGCTGCCCAGTTTATTTCTGAATGTCTGCAGTGTGGGAGAACCCCCCCCCCCCAACCTCTCCAGGCAGCTGGTTCCACTGTCCTTTTGCTCAGGAACCTTGTCTTAAACATTTTATCCATCAGTACAGAATATGTCACAATCCAAAATTATTCCTATTTTCCCTATTTTGGGGATGGGAGAAACTTCCTTGGAAGAAGGGGGCTGCCCCACCCCATCACCAGCTCTGTCAGGTCACAGCGGAGAGGTCTAGGTATGAAATACCGACGGCTGAGTTGTATTGTGCTTCAAACAGGTGCCTTTAAGGTCTCCCTACTTAGGTTTGCAACAGGTTCCTCTCACAGCTCGCGCTGAGCAGCAGATTGGGTTTTCATGAGGGATGCTGCCACCGTTTGGCAGACTCGACATCCAACACAAGCACTCGGTTCTGGGGACGTGGCCCAACCCTTCTGGCAGGAATGCTTTTCGGGTTTCAAACTGCACAGGTAAGGATCAACAGCTGAGTGCGCCATTTGGCATGTCAGGCAGCCAGATATTGAGGAATGGAGAAGCCCACTCAATAGGTATCTGATCCATCCTTGCAACTCGTAAAAGGCAGGGCCGTGCATACACCTGAGGGATTTCCATGGAGAGCGGACGCCACAAGAGTGCCAGGAAGGTTCAGCACTGGCCTCTTCTGATCGCTCACACGAGCCATTCCCTTAGCTAATCTCCTCGTATCGACTGAAATCCTTTAATATAAATCCTGTTCGATCCATGTTCACATAAGCATGAATTCCCTTCTTAGCTTGCTAAGGTGGCAGCCTAAAAATGCATGCCATTTCCATACAAAGCCGCCATTTAGTTTATGAATTTGTAAAAAGAGGCCTCAATGTGTTTTTCTAGGCATTAACATGCAACACAGAGACCCAACAGAACCGATATTGTACTGGATTAAGCTGGTATGGCTTCTGCAAAAGGCTAAATGGCAGCTTTTCTAGGCTAAATGGCACCTTCCTTCCTCTGGCCAGTCACTGGCCTGGACAGTTTGAATCACACTAAAAGCTGACAGAGGAAGATTTAAAACCGGAGACAGAAGACCTCACAGGTTAGCACTAACAACTGAACTGCATTTCTTGGAGCCAAATAAAACTGAAACACTGGAACCAATTTAAGGTAGATGGAAAGTGATAAAACCCCAGACTGGAAACCTACTCCCAAAATGTGTTTTCATCTGGCAGCAAAGAGTAGCAAGTTGTCAAAGTGACGATTTCAATTCAGAGAGGAAGCTATGAACAGGCAACGTCGAACATGGGGTTAGTTCTACATTAACAAGAAGGCCCAATCGGAAACAAGCTAAGAGAACAGATGCAAGCAGGAATGTAGGAATGAATTATGCACTGCCATATTAATCTTGAACACAGCATCCCAGAAGACATCTTTGGGAGAAACCTCGCTGAAATTCGTGCAATTTGCACAAGGGTAGAACTGAGGCCTTTGAACTGTGGTGCTGGCGGAGACTCCTGCGAGTCCCTTGGACCGCAAGGCGATCCAACCGGTCAGTCCGAGAGGAGATCGACCCTGGCTGCTCTTTAGAAGGCCAGATCCTGAAGATGAAGCTCAAATACTTTGGCCACCTAATGAGAAGGAAGGGCTCCCTGGAGAAGAGCCTGATGCTGGGAACGATTGAGGGCAAAAGGAGAAGGGGACGGCAGAGGATGAGGGGGCTGGATGGCGTCACTGGGGTGGTGGGTGTGGGCTTGGGTGGACTCCGGGGATGGTGGAGGACAGGAGAGCCTGGAGGAATGTTGCCCATCGGGTCGTGATGGGTCAGGCACGGCTTTGCGACTAACAACAAGAAAGGATTTAGGGTAAAATGAAGAGAGCAACCCGACTGCCTCCTAGACAGCACCTTTCTATCCATCTGTAATTCATATTCCCAAACCCAAGGGTAGAGGCAGAGCTCTGACTGCAGGGTTGCGGATCTGTACTCCAAGCCCCTTTCCCTGCTTGCAGGGGCCGCAGAAAGAACCATGCCCGCTGCCTCTCTGATGTTGGGAAAGAGACCTCAGAGAGGGGGTGAAGGGTGATCCAAGAAGGTGGTAGGAGGCCGGGGCTGCCAGGACACGTGATCCTGACGGGGTCCCAGCTTCCTTCCCTCCAAAGCACCTTAGCTGGACAGCTGGAAATGGCCCTCGTGCGGAATTGCAGTGCGGGGGCCAGAGAAGGCCTTCACTGCCCCCCCCCCCCCGAGACAGGAGGCTCTGGAGCTGCCGAGTGTGGGGTCTTCCAGGAACCGAGGACGCAATCTGAGAGGACAGCGTCCTAATCTCCTTTGTTCAGCGCTTAAATGCTCAGGCCAAAAGAAGACTGGAAGTCAACCTCTACAAATGGATCAAAAGATTACCTACAAGACAGTGGCAAGAGTTACGTAACACAGCAGAGGGAAAGAGATGTGCGAGCAGCGTTCATGCCAACTGGGAAGGACAGCAGTGGGCCAAAGGGCCGCCTGGGACCCCTGTGGCTCTTGCTGAGTTTGGCAGCAGCAAAAAACCTGGCCGGTTGCGGCCAAAATTCAACAGCAAACCAGGAAGGAGCCTCCAGGTGCCCAAACCACCTTGCTTCCAAGCTAAGTGTGGCCCTTGGGGGTCTCCAGCCTTGTTTTGGTGACAGACCACCCTATTTTTCTCCCACAAAATTCAGTGGCAGGGCTTAACCCTCAGGACTGACTGACATTGCCCGATCGATGGAATTAAGAGAAAGTAGCTGCAGGAGCATCTTGGAAAGTACTTTTCGATCATAATTCAGGGGCTCCAAACAGCAAATATGTTTCACTGGCGCGGAGCAGGAAGGAAAGTTAAAAAGCATGGCTGCCACAGGTCAGCCAAATGCCAGGTTTCGCCTCGATAAAGTGCCTCGGTATGGAATGAAAGCAGCTCCTGCTGGGCAGCAGTTTTATCAGACACGCTTATTATGAAAAAGCAGTTATTTGCAGTGGAATAATAGTGCCATTAAGGCAGTAGTCCATGCCCCGCATTACAATCTTGGGCAATTGCTCCTGAGAACAGCATCTCCGTATCTGCACAGAGGTGCTCTGTCATCCTCATCTCCCACCCGGTCGTTGACAGAGAATTCTGGGGCCGCTGTCTGAAGCATTCGAAGGATGCCAAGTTGAAGAAAGCGAAGCCTACGGGATCAGGAGCCATTTTGATGAAACTTGGAAAACACTCATGTGACGCGTGAGAAAGGGCCAAGAGAGAAAGTGGGTTTAAAGTCAATACGGCGCACGCATGCAAGGAAATGTTTGCATTTTTCACAACTGCGCGGGGAAGACAATAGCAGGGCAAAACACTTTGGATAAACAGGGTTCTATTATTATTATTATTATTATTATTATTATTATTATTATTATTATTTACTTAAAAATTTGTATGCTGTCCATTACTGTCGTCTCTGGACAGCTTACAACATTATTTCACACTACAATAATAATATAAGATAAATTAACTTTCAACAGTAGCAAAATAGTTTTGCAGTTATTTAAATGATGATGATATTTATTTACATCCTGCCTGTTCCCAGAGATTTGGGCTCAAGGAGGCTCACCCCATTAAAATTGCACAATTGAAACTTTCAGAAGTACGCCAAAGTTAAAATGCAATTAAACCCACTACATATTAAAACTGACTTAATAGCTTAAAACCAGTAAAAAATATAATAAATGATAACCCAGCACAAATTTGCAGGCCATTCCCAAATGGAATGGAATAAAAAAGCTTTTGCCTGCCTGTGCAACCTGCTTCTAGGAAGGGAATTCCAGAACCCGGGGGCAGCCCCCAAGAAGTCCCTGCTCCCGCATTCCCACCAAGGGTGCCTCTGAACGTGGCGGGACCAAGAGGAAGGCCTGCTCAGAAGAGCTTAAGAGTCTGGGAGGAGAATACCATCTTTCAGAGAGCCTGGACCAAGCTGAGCAGGTTAGCATCACCCGCGCCTTGAACTGTGCCTGGAAACAGACTGAGAGCCAGAGACATGCTCAGCAGCCGAGGCATGTGCTCCTTGCAGCCGTCTGGCTGCAACTGCCGAACAATCTCCACTTCTCCCTCATCAATAAGTGCATTGACTGAGCGCATTGTTGTGCTCCTTGGAAATAAATTGTGGAGAGGAGAGGAGAGGAGAGGAGAGGTCAGGTCAGGTCTCTGGAAGCACCAGCGTGCCTTTTAAAGCGAGTGGACAGCACCAGCCCGTCCGGCAGAGGCGTGGGAAGGAAGCGGACTTACCATATGCCTTTTGCAGGTCAGTGGGACGAGGACGTGGCAGCGTTTATGGACCAACAGCTTGCAGTTGATACACTTGTAGCCTTGCCTTCCGAGCCCCCATATCCTTTCGCTGCACTGGCCGCAGTATGCTCTCTGCAAGGAAAACACAGGCCGTCTCTGCAGCGGCTCCCGCACGAGGACGCCCTCTTCGTGGCAGCCAGCGCGGGCATGCAGAAGCAGACCGGCCAGGCAACACTGACGGCGCACTGCCTGTCTCTCCGGCAACAGAAAGTTGCTTGCAGCCACCAGATCTTTTTAGAGTTAAATGTTTTTTTTGCTTTTAAATTATTATATTATTATCATTTATGTATTTTTTTGTATTTTTTGCGAGCCGCCCCGAGGCTTTGTTGCGATGGGGGCGGCACAGAAATGTTTTTAATTAATTAATTAATTGGGCCAGGCGCTGCTGGGCCCACGGGCCGGGTGCTCCCCCCATGCCCCTTGCTGCAAGCCGCCCCCAGCCCCACTCTTGTTTAAACGTCCCAAAAGGGGTCCCCAAAGCCGCCACGGAGTGCTCCGACGGCCCCCGTGCATCTCGCCTGCAGGCTAAATTTGGCCCTTTGGGTGCCTTGTTGATTTATTACATTTGCAAACGAGCAAAATGCAACTGCCATAGTTAAGTTGGAGGGTTGGCCCTTTTGTTGAGGGGAGAGGACCGACCCCAAAGACTGTGCAGCAGCCCCTGGAAGGGATCCTGGGGGGAAATGAAGTTGCCCAGCCTTGGTTTAAATGGAGATGCCAGGACCAAGCCTGGGACCGGTTTGGATGCTGGCAAGCAACAGACCAACTCCCGAGAGTTTCGGTTAAGGCTTGTTCATCTCCAGACTGCTGCCCAGGATCTGAAAGAACGGCTAGCCTGGATATACATCCTCCAGTTCCCCTGAACAGCAGTGTGCATAGGCATCCAGGATCATTAAACTTCCAATGCTGCAACAATCATTTAGCTCTACGCGTGGCTACGAACATTTTCTTTTTCTTTGGAAAGCCGGAAGGAGCGGAAATCAGAACAGATACTCAATTAACAAAAGGAAGTTAAGCCAGCCATGACCACGGTGAGATTCTGCAAGGCAAACAGCAGAGTTTCTTATCAACAAGACTATGACATCATAAGCAAGCGGAAATCCAGTAGATGCAACTGTAATCGTTTGGAGGGCTGCTGCTGGAAGAGCACAGAGCTTGCTTCGGGTCAGTGGAACAAGAGGAACGACCTTCCATTGCTGGATAGCCAGGAACTGTGTGCAGAACTTTGATGTTAGATTGAGGAGAAAGGATGTTAGCCTTTAAGGCAGCTAAAATGATCTTCAAGTCACAGGCTTGACTCTCGTTGCCCCCGCCCCCATTCTGAGCTGGTAGATGCAAAATGCCCATTTGATTTAATTGGCATGATTAAAAGCTAAGGCAGAGAAATACTACATAACACAAACCCTTCAGAGACTTTGCTGAGAGATGACGTGCCATGAAAGCATTAATAGAGAGGATCTTCGTGCATCTTAACTGAAGGCTGAAGGGAAGGTTTATCAGCCAGAATCGAGGCTTAAAAAGTGACAAACATTTTGATCTCCCTGAATATCAAAAGCTACCAAATTCCCAGTGGGACCGAATGAGGAATCAAAGGGGGTATGATCAGTGTTATGTTTCTCAACTTAGCAGGGCATCTGATTAAGGCAAGAGGCTGCAAAGAGTGAAATGAGCATTGGGTTTATGATGTTTATAAATCCCTAGAGAGCATTCTCTAGTGCCGCCTACAAGTTTCTTAGAAGGTCTGAGAAGCAGAATCCTTCCATTCAGGTTGCAAACTGTCCTTTGCCCCAGAACTGAGCAAACAGTTCACAGAGACAATCCGTGCATGCGACAAGACATGTTTCCAATACTAAAGGATTTCACAGTGAAATTTGATTTATAAATCTCTTCTCGCAGCACTTACAAATATGGTTTCTTAGGTGTCTTTCTCAGAACGACCATTGGTAGTCTTTTCTATCACAAGCTTCTATGAGCCTCCCATCTTTTCCTAAGTGGTATATCTTTTAAATCCAAAGTAGTTGCGCACCCCTTTTTCCAGCTAATGTAGCACCAAATCCACATAACCTTGGCACTCTGAAAAAATAAAAATTAAAGGGCTTTCCATGTTTGGGTCAATATGAACCCACGATAAGCGCTAACACATGTTGTGGAAAGGCATTTCATTTTCATTTGATTTCATTTTCTTCTGATTACCTTCTTGAAGCAAGTTAGCCTAAACATGCACAAAGAAATTTAGACGGAACTACCCCTCATGGGCACACGTCAACATTTCTGCATTCTATAACCATCCATTTCAGCCAATTTCTTCCATGCAGTCATGACTACACTGGTTTTAGGGAATGGTAAATGTGTGCTTTTTATTAAAAATGCATATACAGGAGGTCAATGAATGGTCTGTAAATATGAGGATTGTAATGGAAGCTTAACGGATGTGTTATCTTATCAATATTCTGCATAAGAGACCACTGCAGGACCCATAGAGGGGTCGGTTCTATAATAAAGAAATAGATATTAAAAAAAAAACAAGTGAAGCAACTTGACCATTTGTAACAACCCATCCTCTCCCCACTGAAAAAACATTCAAGTACGAAATAAACACCATTGTGCAGCCCAAACTTGCTACAGGAATAGGGAAGAACTGTGAAAAATCTTAAAACTGAAATTGGAGCTGTCATTTGTGTGGCATTCTATGGAGCCCAGCTGTGGGGCTTTGTGGACCAGCCAAAACCAATCCCAAATACTTCAGGAAATGCAGTATACCTTCTTCTTAGCTATGACCTGCAACTAAGCTGTAGAAGTTGATACTAGCTAAATTCTGGGGAAAGTAGCCCTAAATTTTATATTGTTTTAATAATAAATGTTCTTATAGTAGTTTTACATTTATTGCATTTTTATATATTTTGTAAGCCGTCCTGAGCGCTTGAAGCGATAGGACGGGGTATAAATGAATGAAGCAAACAAGTAAATAAATAAATAATTTTTCCAAGCTAGTGATTTCTGGTATACAAATATGGGCAGGATTAGACCTGCTGCTGGAGAAGTAGCAAGGTTAGGATTCTTCTCTGCCTTCCTGTTGACCAGGACCAGGAAAAGCTTCAGCAATGCATCCTGGACTTGGACTCTGGCTAGGAGGAATAATCAAAGAATGTCTCTTTTGACTCAGGGGGACCCCTGCAACATATACAATTAAGCTTGCAGATTCTGAAGCTTACAAACTCCTCCCTGCCCCAAACTCTGAAGGGCACTCACACTAGCAGGAATGAAAAACTTTCCTTCTGCTGTTAGGCTGGGATTATATAAAGGGGATTCCTTGAAAGGACGCCTGTGTTTACGGGCTCAGTCTGAAATGCAGGCCCTGGAACAGAGAATGTGATGCTGTGAGTTGCGCGGTTTCTCAGGACAGAAGCTCATTGTAAAATGATGGGGAGACAACAGAAGCTGGGCAGGAAAGCAAGTGTCGGTGTTTTTCCTGACAAACCTGACATACAGCATCTTTGATTTTGCAAACTTTTAAAATGCATTTTGTTTATAAAGAAGGCACGAGCCCTGTTGTACAATTGTCAAGATGATGATGCTTAATGAAAGGATGAAGTACGCTAATAATTTTTAGTTTAAGGCTCCTTTCGGGGGGAGGCAGGATATTTTAGTGGGGTTTTGTTGCTTTTGAAAATGGTAGATAACTTGCTCTTTTTGTGACTTTTTATATTTGGGGATTTTATTCTGGCAAAGTAAATCGAGCAATCCAGCTCAATTGAGTGGGACCAAAACTTACCTTTAAAAATAAGGCCCACCAAATAGTCGCCCACTTTGGAAATTTATTCCCGATACTTTTATCCTAAGATCTCTAACATTTCTGCATTGGTCTCACTCTGCTTTCTTCAGAATAGAAATAAGGGAGAGCCAATACTTAAATTCATACCATAACTCACACTGAAGTACAGTAGCCTTCTAAACCAGTGAACTCAACCTGACCACAAGGTCACCCTCATAAATCCTGCTCGATTTTCTGCTACGTTTAAACACTGCAGGTCAGACTTTTTGTTTGTACACACCTTTAACTGGCTCTGCATCCGGAAGCTAGATGTATAAATCCAGTGCTTGCTTACAGAGATGGCAAAGCCCCCGTAAGCCATCCTTTCATCCAGTTTTAGCCAAATCGTGCCCCATCTTTGAAAACAGTAGCTGAAGAGGCGATGGGGAAAAGAAGGCAGCACTTCTCTGCCCGCCCTGTACTTTGAACACTACCCTACCCCTCCCCATCCATAAATAATAGAGTCATCAGGCAAAATAATTGGCTTATAAATTGACAGAGGACCAAAGATGACCCACTCTTGAATGGAAATGGCAATGGCTGAGCGATAATGACCCCGCAATGAGATTGGCTGCGGCAAGAGGCACGGGTGCGTTGCCAAGGGTTTTAAGGTCTGCGCTTTCGGGGTCCGTCACTCTTCTGTGTGGGCTCACAGTAAAGCAGATTTCATTATTTTAGAACCCCCCAGGATGAGAATGAAGGCCAACTGACACTTACAACAGAAGAGAAAATTATATGTAATTGAGGGCATTGAAAACTGTAACTAAGCTACCCAGTTTTTTTTTCTTTTTTCTAAAAAGTGCTTTTGCCTCTTTGCACAATACACACGACGCTGGATAATAAGCCCTAATTTTCAGGCTGCGGTGGCAATCATGAGGACAGAAGCACCTGACTGAGCATCGCGAAAGACCGCGCGTGCCTCCTTGGAAGGCTTAGTGGCCCGGTTCGCACATCCAACCCGCCACGTGGGCGGCCTCTTCAAAGGGAGCCGTGTGGGCGCGCCTCAAGCGATCGGCCACGCTGTGGGGCTCGCCGTGTGGCCTGGCCGCTGTTGTCGTCGCCCACACAGCCCCGCCACACACAGATGCATCGCACGGCTCTGTCTCAAGAAGCCTCTGGGGCAAAACGCTCAAGTTCGGGTGGTGTGGTTCCTGCTGCTTTTAAATACCGGGCGCTCTTGTTCCCCAAAATGCACGAGCGTTCAGCTCCTGAACGTTCCTCGCCTACCCATTTCGTATGAGCTGTGGGACTTGAGCAGGTTGTACCATCTGCAGAATGGGTTCAACTCCGCACTGGAGAAATATTTTCCCACTTCCGGAACTCCTGTTTTGAGTGTCCAAGTGGGAAATTGTTCTGAACACGCACTTCTTAGGACTAATAATGCTTTTCAGAAGGCCAGTCAGCTAGGAAAGGGCAGCATCAGCGATATGATCTTCCTTAACATATGTTGGCCTTACATTTCTTGTACTGGCCCCATCTATCTGCAGTATAGTTATAACACTCTGGTTTGCTAGTGTGACAAGGCTTAGAATGGAATGATGAAATGCAGTGAACTGTAAGACTTACTACAATGGACAAACAAGAACAGGAAGCAACAGTATAACAGGCTTAAGTATTTACTTTGGATAAAAGCAGTGAAAGAAACGATCTTGCTGTAATTTTAAGACCTAAGTATATACTGATTACCCAATGGAAACCAGCTGCCACTTTCAAATTGCATGATACTGATCAGACAGGGAATTCAAATTAATCCAGGTATTATGGTTTTCAGTGTGAGATACGCTATTTTACTTAAAACGGTGGTCCCTGGGCTCTGTTTTTTGTGCAGTGGTAAGAGGCCGGCAATGAACCTAATTAAGGTATTTGGTTAGCATTCGTGGCATAAGATGTTATTAAATTTCTAAGCAACTTTTCAATTAAAAATACTCACAGCAGCACAGGAAATCTAAGTGCTGAGTTCCAAACAGCTACTTTAGGCATATCCGATGCATGCGGTCTCAACTTTTCTTTCTTTTAAATGGCTTCTCCCCATGTATCATAACCTGCTTCTGAAAGCCCCTTCACTGAGAAAGCTGTTTGCCTCCTAGGCTAAAAACTCAGACTGGTGCCCTTAGAAATGTAGATTACGTTGCATCGATGCCATTTACAGTATCATTATCATTTTAAACATCACTGTACTTGAAAAGAAATTTTGTGGGGCACGACTGGGGGTTTGAAGAGGGTGGGTGGAAAAGGCTGAAGGCGCTTTTAAAAACTTAAGCCCCCTGTGGGCCAGGCAAACAACATGGAATATCAGTTCCAATAAAGCCAACTCATAAAGGTACAGTCATAGGAATTTGCCTTTTACATGTCTATTTTTAACCTAGCTCCCATTTAGCATCAGTGAATGCTGGGAAAACCTTAGGATAATTCAGGTTTTTTGATCCCAAAATTGTGATTTAATTGCTCCCTAAAAAAGGCTAACATTTAGATTAGGGTGCCTTAGCATATGACAGTCTCACAGTAATCCATGAATCATGCCGCCTGTGTCTCAAGACCATAATCAAGCAGGATCTTGTTCGCAGTGCATGAGATTAAAAATGTGGCTTGCAATCAAAAGCCTAATTCTGATCTGGAACCATTCAGCGGATGACACACTGAGGCGACCCACACGGGAGAGCGTGGATCTGTTCATCAAACACACCTCCTCTTGGCCCACAAACCAGCGATGGTCAGAACAGCCTGATCTTCCAGCAAGCCTGCAAGCTAACGTGCCCCGGGTTATTTATTTATTTGCTTGTTTTAAAGAGGAAACTTTGGAATAATGTCTTCTACAGAGAATACCATGCTGCAGCATGATGGGCTGGGTTAAGGCAGGAGGGAGTCTCCGGGCGCCTTCGCGTTTTAGATGAAGTCAGACCCTCCGACACAGCTGTGGCTCTCGCACACACCAAGAGCTTGCAGCTCAGAAGATAAAAATATTTATGGTGCCGTTAATTAGGTCATATCTATTTAGCTCCTGTGCATTTTAAGAGAATTCTAAGCATCTTAACGCTAATCCAGATATACAATAGGAAGAAGGAAGCGGTGAAAGACAAGAGGGAGCATTCACATCAACAGAGACCGCGGCTGGAAAGGCAGCATGAAAAATATTTATCTACACACACACACACGCAAGAGAGAGCACATTTTCAGCTGCATCCGAGGAGAAATTAATCCGATATTTCTGTCCCCACAATGAATAATTCAAAGACTCCTTATTCAATAAAACTGCCTGAACTGACTTGAGGGGATCCAAATTGGCTGGTTTTTTCTTCCCCAGGAAAAGCTGTCGGGAGGGGGAGACCCATAATATACCCCCCTGCCAACACTCACACACACACACGCCCCTCCCCAAGCTTCGGAGAGACATACTCACCCTGTTAAAGCGCTTGGCCTGAAACAAATGCCCATTCACTCTGTACAGCTTCCTCCATCTTCTGGCTCCGCGTCGGTAGATGGATTCTAGGACGGAAATTAAAAAGGTGTAAAGCAGAAGCATAGTAAAACCACGCACTCCCTACATGGAGTGAGAGGCGGCTTAATCTTGCTCTCCCGAACATCCACGAGCAGCTGAATGTCGCTGGCGGCACAATCTCCTGTCAAAAGGCATCTGAAGGATCGGCTCCCCCACCCCACGGCCTCTCCCCTTCCCCCCTCGGCCCCCCTTCCCCCCTCCCATGTTTATAATCTTGTTACAGCTCCGAGACTGCTTGCTACTTCCAGCTCAGGTGAGATGGCGAAAGATGACTGGGTGGAAGCGGCGGCGGTGGCGGCGGCAGCAGCATCCTCTAATCCTCATCCTTCCAGCTACGAATGCAAATTCCAAGGGTGCAAGAGAGCCGGCGGCATGGAAAGCCAGACACTGTCACGGCACCGTTACGGTTCCCTTTCCCCTTTCCTCCATCCTGGAAGATGATGTCACCGGGATCCTTCCTTTTTTCCCCCGGAGGGAACAATACGAATATGCTTTTGACGGTCGTACTTGTTCCTGTTTATGTATCGAGGATGTAAGACCAGTCTGTGTGAGGTGCTCTTAAAATACAGGAGGTTTCAGGGCATCGGCAGCACCCAAAGTTCACCATTCGCATTCGCTTTCCACGTCACCTGGGCTTCCTTGGATGAGGCCTGACTGAGAGTCACAGCTTATACCCGGAACAAGCGTGATGCGAGTCACTACGACTCGCGTTTCGTAGAGAGGGAACCACGGCCGACAGGTAAGGCTTTGCCTGAGGCCCCTCAGAGAGGAATACCCAGTGGACTATATTCCCCGGCACACAGGAGATGGAGGCCTGGGCAGCTGGAGACTGAATGGCCAAACCGTGGCTTGAGGAGCGACGCCTGGCCTCCCCATGGCGTGGTGTGGGGGGCGGGGCAGGCTGGGCAACTGGACCTCGCAGCTGACCGTGCCCGGACCAGGCCTCGCTGCTGGCCTGGCCGTCCCCTGCAAGTGGAACCAGGGCCAGCTCCAGCTTGAGGGCACCTCTGGGGAGATGCCCTCCACCTCCCTTCCCTCCATGGGCCTGCTGCGCACCACCAGCAGCAACAGGCTCAACTTGGATGCCGGGAAGCACTTCCTGGCAGTTAGGACCCCGAGGGTGTGGAATGGGCTTCCACGGGAGGTCGTTGAGGCCCCATCGGTGCGGGTGTCCAAGGATAGGCTGGACGTCCACATGGTGGGCATGCCGTGAGTGGAGCTGGGGGTCAGACTAGATAGCCCAGGAGACCCCTTCTGACTCACTGTTTCTATGTAACAGCTCTCACTTCCTCCTCCTCCTCACCACCTGATCGATTGCCAAACAGGGAGCCAGGAGGAAAGCAGCTGACCTCCTCTTCTGGCCAGAGCAAGCAACCTGCTGCACTGAAGGGGGAGCAGCAGGGTTCCCGTCGCCGGGCCCCGAACGAATGGGGGGTCCTTGGCAGGTAAGGACCAGCCATGCCGACCCTTGGCCCTTGCCTTGAGGGGCCTTCTCGAATCAGTAGCTAGAATTCTGCAGAAGGAATCTGAGGAAAGGGGAAGACGAAATGTGCAAAGTAACTGCTATTGATTCCTCTTGGAAGCAGAGTGCTGCATTAATGCAACTCATTCCTTACACACCTTTCTTTTTTAAAACTCGGAGTTGTCCTTGAGCAGACGGCACGGATGGCGGCTGCGTGACAGAACTGTAGGAGCTGGACTGGGATCTAAGATCTTTTCAGTACGTGCTGTTGCTGAATTCTCCTCTAACATGGTTTGCAATCTTTCACCCAATGTTATAAAAGCCGCTTTCCTCTTTTTAAGAAATACGGTGCGCTTGGCGCAGTCTCTGAATTTTTCTAAAGTGTAAGCTATACAACACTCTGTCGATGAACTGGATCACCTTCAAAGCATCCTCATGAAATGAACCATAACCTCGGAGATGGGAAAGCTTGTCAGTTTGTTCAGGATCAAAGTCGCTCAGGCAAGACTGACGCAACGAGACAGTTTGAAGAACTAGAGAGAATTTTCAGGCTTCTTTTGTTTAGGAAGGAGGAGCCAAGGCTGTTCTTACCATCAGTGGAAGAGACAGAGCATTTCTAATATGGAAAGTGTAATAACTTTTTAAACACATTTGCTCACACTCGGCTGGAAAACAGCTGAATATTTATATTTATTTATTTAAGATATTTGTACGCCATCCTTTGCGAGAGCCTCAGGACGGCTTACACAAATTGGATCTAATTCAGATCCAATCATCCCTCCTCTACTCCAAAGAGACAGATTTTAGATGCACTGGCCTGAGAAGGAACTGCAATTGTTGCCATGTGCCATCAAGTTGTCTCTGACTTATGGTGACCCTACAAAGGAGCCTTCCAAAATGCCTGGCCCTTGACAGCCCTATCCTGTCCAGGTCCTGAATGAAATATATATATACACACATATACACACACACTTATTTATTTATTTAGGACATTTATAGGCCGTCCATCACTGTCGTCTCTGGACAGCTTGCAATATAATATAATCAAATCCTAAACAAAAGAAATTAGCTATACCACGACTGAATATATAACAATATAATAGTTAAAACAAGTTCGATAAATAAATATACAGTTAAAATCGATTCACGTTAAAATATTGGTCAAATACAAAGGTCTTGACCTGGCGCCGAAAAGCATATCATGACGGTGCCAGGCGGACCTCTCTAGGGAGTGCATCCCATAGTCCATGCCTCTCTTTATGGGGCCAATTTGCCTCAGAACTGATCTTCCTTTCCTTCTTCTGCCTTCATCTTTTCTTAGCAGCATTTCCTTCTCCAGTGAGAGAATGAACTGACAAAGGGATTATATGCAAAGCAGCCATCAAATGATAGGAACACGCCTTCTTAACATTACTTTTGGGAACGTGAACGTGCCCCGTAATCCTAGTATGGTTCTAGATTCAAAGCATTGCAGAGATTTGGAATGTTCTTCCCAAGGGAAGCTTTCCTGTTCTGTCTGTTTTACCACCATGAGGAGAAAACATTTATCTTTTTCTCAGGCCTTTTAACGTTCTAAGCAGTTGAGGAGGCAGTACTGCTTGGGTTTTGCTACTTACTGCAAGCTTCAGCCTGCTTTGGGAAGACGGAGGTGTTGGAGATACGAGGCAACACTGGAGCTTGAAATTAATCCATCTATTTGACAAGAAGACTGGGGGGCATGAGAGAGGCTTGCAAGGTTGATTCTAATAGGTTCATATGGAAGCAGGTCTTCATTCAAATTCGCAGGGTCCCAGATCTTTTAGGCTTTTACAAATAAACGCCCACACTCTGCATCCAGATTTAGTGATGCTAAGATTACATACACTGAACTCAATGGGGCCTATGACTAATTTAAGCCCCATTGAGTTCAGGGGCTCTAAACACCGCTTTTGCTAGATCTTCAAGGGCGGTCCCACAAACAAAGAACTACTCTCTGTTCAGGATGCTAAGCCAGAAAAAGAGGGAATGTGTCAGGTGTGTCTCTTGGACATTTACGAAGCCAGATCATTCATACTGTCCAATATGGCAAATCTGACCATTCAGTGGGAGTGGTGACGACCATTTCTTAGCAGAACAACCCCCCCACCCCCCGCCGCCACCAATGCTACCAAAACCCAGTTGGCTTCCTGGCACTCTTCCTATCTGTTACAGACCCCATGCTGAACTTCCACGGCCTCACCTGTAGAATCAGGGGGAAGGAGCAATTCAGCTGAATGCCATCCACTGACCCATGGTGCCAGTCTCTGATGGAATGAGATGCAATGGTACGGAGAGACAAAGGGGGAAGCTGGGGTGGGGTGCCTTGTAGCATCTGTGCCATGGGGCTGAGCAGTGGCCCCTCCGTGTCTCTTTCTGCCACAGGTTGTCAGTGGAACCAGTGGAATGGTGTCCCTCCAAACCCACCTCAAACAACCTGTCCTCAAAGAGATCATGCCTGGAGCTCTCAAAGGCTACAAGGGAGACCAGAACGATCATTAGCCTGCGTTCGCCCCGCCATAAATCACCCGGCACACAAATCAAGTCCATTTTGACTCCTCAGATCAACAGTCCTATTCATTTCGATCGACAGAATCCATTTCATACAGGAGCATCTGGAGTCCGGCAGTTCCCACCTGCCTGAGGACCTTACTCAAAAGATTTGCCACTGCCCATTTTCCATTGTGTGCCCAAGAATTACATCCCTGTCTCCTGAATTTCACTTCTTCTTGTAAGAATACTGGCAACGACGATGCATATTACGGAACAGGCCCACTAGTCCTCTTATATATGGCATTCGGTGCATCGGCATTCCTGTGAAGGACCTGTCAGGAGCTGAGGGTCTTAAACAAACAAACCTTGAAGTGTGCTTTTATTTCGATGCCTATTATTAGAATTCTCATAACAAAATATAACAGTTTCTATGACAACTGGATGCCCTAAACACATTCAAGGTCTGGAATAATGTATTTAGCAAGAAGCTATGAGGCATTATGCAGCGTTCCAGCACTACGGGGCAACACAAGCACCAAGAGCTACCTCTCGGGGCCAATCTAAGGAGACCATTTCTTTCCCACTGGGAAAATCATTACTAGACCACGTCATATAATGCGTCATAACCTGCTCGTGGCTGCTTGGGTCCTCATCCTTCCCCACACTTATAGACGTTCTTCCACTCAACTCAAATCCCTAGAAAGATATTTCTTGCGTGTAGGCCCAACGTCAGGGTACAGACCACTCTCACCTGCCTGCAGGTATGTCCCAAGAACTCAGTAGATGCACCCTTTGCATTTGAAGAAACTCTCCAAGCTCCACCATATATTTTGCACAGAGACTTGGCCCAGGGTTCCAGGGGCTGAAGAGATATTGAGCCAGAGACAGAGAGAGGCCCAGTAAACCTCAAGGCCAAAATAGTGATTAAATGCTTAATATCCAAAGTAATATTCAGCTATTCTGCGATGCTGCTCCTGAGGCCCTGCTTAAGAATCTTGCTTTGGGATTGTAATGCTG